GCTCCTTGAACAAGGGGAAGTGCGTCACAAGATATTCCTTGGCCTCTTGGTAGTGTCGCTCCAGGACTTCCCTGTGGCGGTCGCTCCGGATGGTGATGTCGCACTTGTAGGGGTTGGGCCGGATGTTGAAACCGTCGGTGTAGTCGTACGTGTCGTACACGTAGCCCTTGGTCGGGCGGATGTCGAAGCACCACAGCAGACATGCCAGGGCGATGTACAGGTTGTTCGAGGCCAGGTCGGCGCCGGGGCAGATGCGACGACCCCAGCCGAACGTCGAGTGGCCGGATTTTGAGGGGTGGGGAGCGCCGCGTTCCAGTGGCGTGGACGCGAGGTACTCCTTGGGCAGGTAGCCCAGCGATGCTGGGTCCTCGGCGTCGAGGAAGCGCAGCGGGTTGAAGTGGTCGGCGTTCGGGTAGTATTGTTCGTTGCGGTTGATGGCCCAGCTGTTCCCGAGGATGTTGGTGCCTTTGGGGATGTAATACCCGTTGTAGTTGTCCGGTTCGGTGCTCGCGTGCGGTGTCCCGCCGAGGACGGCGACTGGACGCCAGCGAAGGGCCTCCTTGGCAATGGCTCTGATGTACGGCAGGGAGGCTTCGTCCGTGTAGCCTGGCAGGCGGTCTTGACCGATCACCGCATCGAGCTCGGCGTGCGCGGCCGCGAGGACTTCTTGGTGGGTTATGATGCCCAGGATGGCGGAGGAAAGAGTAGACGAGGTGGTGTCTGCGCCAGCCCCAAACACCGAGGCAGGCAAACTGGCAAAGTCCCTCTCACGCAGCAGGGCGAACGCCGAAGGGTCTGCGGCGCGGTTTTCCAGGAGCTGCTTCGCCAGACTGTTGGGGAGCGGTGGAGCACCGGGCATCTTTGCGTTTTCGATATCCTCGCGGACGTAGTTGAGTAATTGGGCGTTTGCCTCCTGTTCCTCCCTGCCCCAGGATTTGATCTCGCGCTTCCACGGTGCCAAAGCATCAGGGACATGTTTGAGGAAGGGCAATGACTCGACGAGGTACCGACCGGGGACATTGAGGGAAGCACTCCAATGCATGATCTTCATCCGTTGGCGTATGATAGGTGATTGCATACTGTCGATGCGGTGTCCGTAGGCAATGGTGAAGACGATCGAAGCCGTGAAGCGGTTCAGAAGATTGTCCAGGTCATCCGGCTGCTCGAGGAGATGGTGACAGAGGCGTGCGGCTTCGGCCTCCTGGACAGGTTTATAGTGTTGCAGCGCTTTCTGAGTGAGCACGCTGTGCAGGGCTTTCCGACGCACGGACCAGTCCTTGCCGTACGGCTGCACGAGGATGCTGCTCATGTCCCAGAAGATCTCGCCCATGGTGACGAAACGGGGGCGTGAGCTGTACTTGTGGGAGCGCTTCTCGAGCAAGTCGACAGCCACATTGGGATCGGAAATGATCACAGTCGGACGTCGGCCGAACCACAGGGTGTAGATTGGTCCGTACTTCCTCGACCATTCCTGGAACTGAATCCACGGGTACTTGGCTGGAATGTCGAATTTGTTGCCAATGAACGGTAGAGGCTGAGGGCCCGGAGGCATTCGCTTCCAGAGTATGACATCGTGGATCACAACACCAAGCACGCCCAGGAACAATAGACCCGTCACGCCCGACCAGATGTAGAAGACGGTAGACCAGCTCATCGTTACTGGAAGTCTGGCAGCACCAGTGGTGGTATGTATCTCACTTCAATCCCTGTCAGATATACTCACTCGATCCTGGGCCAGCGTGACCGCCTATTGGTTTCAGTGAAGCAGTAACAAACAACAAGAACCAAGACTCACAGCGGTAAAATAGTTTCTTCACGAATATTCCGTGGAGGGAGCACAGAAAGAGAGAATGCAGAAAATTGGGGAGGCACCGGGAGCATCGCCGTCACCAACCGTTGTATCCCCCTCCACCGCTTCGGGATACCAGGCTGCGCCTAACACACTTCTTTTAGGTCAATGGCACGCTCGTCATTGGCGGGAAAGAGACGTGCCACATCGACGGCGCCGTCTTTCGTGGAGAGAAGATTCGGCCTTCGTGGGGCGGCAATGCTTGTGCGGAGAAGGCCCATTGCTCGCCAGAGTCCGGCTATGGTCGAGATCTTCGGCAGTTGATGAGTGCTGACAAGGCACCGGAAAACCCCATCTCAAACTTCCATTCTCGACATGCCGTGCATCAATTCCCGATTTGGACAGTGGATGGTACTGGTGGCAATTCGCTCGTGGGAAAGCCACGGGGGCAGTCGATGAAGCCTAGGGCCGAAAGAGCATGGGGGACCAGACATACAACAGCCTGCATCCAGCTGATCAGGAGCCCTTTTGTGCCGACTCTATAGAAGGATCTCCTAGGTCTGATTTGTCATCTTCGTTCGTTAACAAAGCATCGAGGTAAAAACAACCTAGAAAGATGCCCAGCTTCGCAAGGCTGCCGCCCTCTGGGATCAAGGTGATCATCGTGGGAGCTGGATTTGCTGGACTATGTGCGGCCATAGAATGTGATAGAAAAGGCCATTCTGTGATATTACTCGAGAGAGTACCCGAGTTGAAGCCTTTGGGGGATATCATTAGCTTCTCATCAAACTCCGGTCACATCTTTGAACGATGGGAAGGTGTGGTTGACGAGCTTGAACCAATCAGCCACCATAGCGAAGGGCTCGATTTTTACGATTGGAAAGGCAACTTTGCTACGAGGCAAATATGGGATGTCGAGAAGCAATGGGGAAGACGCATCAATGGCCACCGGGGGGAGATCCACCATGTTGTCTTCCAGCATGCCAAAGCAAGGGGGATTGACATCCGACTCGGTCAACAAGTGACCGATTATTTTGAGACCGACACAGAAGCGGGTGTGCTCGTGAACGGCGAGAAGCTGGTGGCAGATTGTGTGTTTGCAGCCGAGGGTGTGAAGTCGGCGGGAAGGAAGATTGTGCTGGGGTTCGAAGATCGACCGAAACCCTCAGGATATGCTGTATATCGATCCTGGTTTTCATCCGACGATCTAGCCAAGAATGAGAGAACGAAGCATTTGGTGGTGAACGGCGACAGTCATTCTGGATGGGTAAGCAGGTTGCTCTTATACTCGATGATTCGTCTCTGACTTTCACTTCAGATTGGCGAGGACAAGCATTTCCTCGCTGCATCAATAAAGAATGGCACAGAGTTCAGCTGGGTTCTGACACACAAAGATGATGCAGACATTGATGAGGATTGGCAATTCCCTGGTGACAAGGAGGAAGTCAAGCGGAACTTGCAAGGCTGGGCCCCTATAGTCCACGACATTGTCGACGCCACCCCTCCAGATCGACTCGTCGATTATAAACTGGTCTTTCGAGATCCATTGCCGACCTTCATCTCCCCCAAGGCTCGGATTGCACTGATCGGTGATGCTGCACACCCTTTTTTGCCAACATCGATCCAAGGAGCAAGCCAATCAATGGAGGATGGAGTGACCCTGGCTATCACACTTGAGAAGAGCGGCAAGGACAATGTTCCTCGGGCCATTCGTGCCTATGAAGCCATCCGATATGAGCGTGTCCACCGGGCGCAGAAGACTGGTATTACGACGCGAGAGCAGTGGCACAAGGCTGACTGGGACAAAATCTGGAAGGATGTCAAGTCTCTGCACTTGAAGCGCGAGGCGTGGCTCTTGGATTTTGACGCAGAGAAACATGCGTATGAGGTTGTTGACGATGTGCTGAAGAAGCTGGATCGAGGCGTGTCGGTCAAGAGTGACAGCGTGTCAGAGGCATCGGCTTCGAATGGAGTGCAGACGATGCTTGCTCAAGAGATTGACCAGCTGGCATAGAGGATGTGACGCAAGAAGCAGCGGCAGTAGTACAAGCAGTAGTATTAACCATGTATTGTGAGCAAAGGAACAAGTATGAGTAAATACGATTGAGTCGGGCAATTCCCGCAGGCAGATGCTCGATGCGGCTCTTCTCACTTTGTCCACTCAAGTCTTATTCTGACTTCTTGACTGTCACTCTTCATCTATTGCAACCCTCTGCGCCTCACATATTGCCTTCTCTGCTATCTGTCACGTCTCCCTACAGCTACCTTCTGAATGACTCATCTACAGAGGAAAATGTTGCTGTCGACGCAGATCGTATATTTTTTAGCTGCCAAATTGGTCTTCAGCTCTATGCCACCCCTTACCTGACGCACATCCTCAAGGCAAGGAGAATGAATCGCTGTCGAACAAAAGCACGTGCCAATGTGCGGTCAGTGCTGGAGGGAGCGCTGCAAAGGCACCTACACAACTTAAGCTACATTCCCGCTGATGTTCTAAAGGTACAAATGCCTGGGATGCGCGGCCGACACGAAGCTGAGATGTGCCTCCACACTTCCAGAGGCAGCTCAACTGCCGGAATATTGTCGCAACAAAGACGTCCTCGGAAAACTAAGTATCGCTGTCGTGAAAAAGAGATGGAATTCCACCCAAGTGTTACAAGAGTGATGGACGACAGTGCACTATCCGATGATGAACCCCACCATCTCCTAGTTGGTCGAGCTGGGGTAGATGCAAGTCCTAATGCGTCCATTGCGTCTTGATCAATCAATGTACGCCAGAGTGCACCGCCGATCCCAATGTTGACCTGGCATATGCCTGGCACCCTTCTTGAATGCTCGTCAGTGGGAGTATTCCGGCATCCTCTGCTATTCCCTTTCTTGATATTGGTGTGGTGCACTCTTGAACTGAGACGATTTAGGTGCATGAGAAAGGCTTGATGCCACTAACCTTCTATGTACCATTTTCAGTCCCCTCGCCTCGTGTCTATTGGTGTGTTACACCGTGGGACAGTCAGTCTTCGCCTGTTTCTCTCATATGTGCAGAAAGTTGCAGGAGTTCCGACGCCACCATAACAACCTTTGCGCCCACAAGTGCGGAGGGTTTTCGGACATCGTCCAATACTTAAGCTGAGCACGCCCAAGGGTAGAGAGAAGTCTTTCCCTCCCAGCCTTGCCACTGGCATTCATATCGATAGCGTCATAATTTTTCAACATGCCGTTCGGAATCCTCGACTGCAAAAAACTGGAAAATGTGCCTGGCACGTCTTTCATGAGCGATCAGGATGACCTACCACCGGAGTATGCAGAGGTACCGCGAGAGCTGTTGAAGCATGGCAAGGGCAGGTTTTCAAACATCATCTTGATTCCTCAACCGTCGGACTCTCCCAACGATCCCCTGAATTGGCCACAATGGAAGAAGGAAATGATTCTCCTCATCGTTTCACTCTCCGCTGCCGTCGTGGGCGCGTTCGGCCCCATGTTGAGTCCTGGTTTCGTGGAGATCTCGGCTCAACTTCACATCACCGTCGAAATCCTGTCCCAGGCTACCGCGTGGTTGATCCTCACCATCGGACTCGGACTGTTCTTGACCAATCCTCTGGCCAAGATATATGGGAAGAGGCCAATCTATATTCTTGCGAGCTGCATCATGTTCGCTTGTTCTGTTTGGGGTGCAAAGGCTGGCAATTATAGCAGCTTTTTGGCTTCCAGGGTCATCAGTGGCGTGGGAATGGCGCCGTATGAGGTATTCGAGACGCAACACTGGGATGCGAATTGTGCTAATCGCGTTAAACATAGGTCCTTGTCCAATGTACAATTGGTGACCTTTACTTTGTTCATGAAAGGGCTACTCGAATCGCAGTGTGGAATTTGTTTCTCCTGACAGTATGTCTCGATGAATACCAACATATCTGTCTTCCCAAAGGTGTTGTGGACTGACCCGACATCAGGGAATCTCTGGTGGCGCCTTAGTTGCTGGATACATAATCGAATATGACGGGTACCAGTGGACCTTCGGAGTATGCGCCATCATGTTCGGTGTGCTCATGTTCGCTGTATTCTTTCTTGTCCCCGAGACCACGTATCGCCGAGACGCTGTCGTGGTGGTGCCGGTGGCAGATACCGTCGCCACTGACCCCGAGAAGCCGGGTGTTCAACATGTCCACATGAAGTTGGGGCACGAACATGACATCTCTCAAGCTCGAGGAGAGAAGGACAAACATCTATCTTACACAGTCACACGTGGTTCGAACGAACCCAAGATGTCGTTCTCGCGGTCGCTGAGGGTTTTCACTGGCCGATATAGCTATGCCCCGATCTACAAGATCTTTACCCGGCCGGTGTTGCTCTTCTTTTATCCAGCGGTATTTTGGGGTTTCCTCATGTATGGCACCACCTTGACTTGGATTGTGGTATTCTGTAAGTGCTTGGCTTGGTTCAGACGTTTCTCAAATCGATCAAGGCTAATTCGTTATCTGCAGCTGTGGTCAATGGAGTGATATTGTGAGTTCCCCGCAGCTTTTCGTATTTCTGGACTCAGTCGACCCCTGACGAAGGCTGACCGAGATTTGCAGTGTCGCTCCGCCTTACAACTTCTCGGTGTCGCAAGTCGGGTTGATCAGCTTGTCGCCATTTATCTTGACGTTAATCGGAGAGGTCATCTCTGGTCCTCTTAACGATGCAATTTGTCTCTACTTGACGAAGAAGAACAAAGGAATTTACGAACCTGAATTCCGACTGGTGCTCATCATCGTTGTCATCATCCTCGGCACGGTTGGATTCTTTGGTTTCGGGGCGACTGTGCATTACCAGACGCACTGGCTGGGACCAGTCTTGACATTTGGGTTTGCGAATATGAGCCTGGCCTTTGCATCGACCTGCGTCTTTGGTTACGTGATCGACTCCTACCCCAAGTTGAATGAGGAAGCATTTGTTGCAATCAACGCCCGGAATCTCTTGACCTTTGGCCTGACATACTTTGTCAACAACTGGCTAGCGCGAGATGGCCCCTTGGAGGTGTTTTGCATTCTAGGAGCTCTCTTCTTGTTTGTTTGTCTCTTGACAATCCCTCTCTGGTGAGTTTTCGCATTGACAACGGACCTGGCAATATAGAAACTTCACAAGGCTGACTCTTGCACAGGATATATGGCAAGAGAATTCGATCTCGGATTGGTCGGACGGCCTGGCTTCAACGGTATATGAATGACGACTTCTAAGACCGGGGTGTTGGGGGCCACCTAGGATGACAAATAAATCTTCGCTACTGAAGACTTCCGTGATGCCCGTACCCTGGGGCCATGGTGCTTAAGTGGCGCGGCTTTTCAGAAATTACCGAAAAGGGGTTCTTCGCAGCAACAACGATGACAATCCAACATCTCAACACCAAGCAATAATAAAATGGACAAAGGGACCTTCCTGTTCGAGCCTTTGAGCAGAAATCTCCTTCGCTTTTTCCCTCGCGTGCGGCTTCAGTGCGTGTCGGACGTGGGCTGTGGCTGATGCGTAGCCAATCATGCCGCAGCCGAGATATTTAGATGATGACCCTGTTCCACTCCGCCACGTTCGTGTGACGCCCACGGACGCCTTGGGAGGGACGGCGAAGATGCCCATGGGTGCAATCAGACTTGATCAGCGCCCAGAGTTTTCAGGCCTCCTCATGGGGGCCTGTTCGCTGCCAGCTGCCAGCCGCCTCGACCATCATTCTGGCTCAACTTGAGCGGTGTTGTGTCACAGATGTAGGAGTATACGAGGAGGTAGGAGGGGCGTCTCTAGACTTGATGCTAGTGATCGCTGCAGCCCTAGATTATTATAGCAATGGAGCCTCCTACGCCTCCCTTCCAGAACCTCCGCTGGTGAACGGTCGAGCCGTCTACCGGGTCCTTAGACATGTATTATTTAATCAAAAACCCGGCCTTAAGCAGGCATAGTCGCTTCACGAAACAATTCCCGCAGAATCCTGCTGAATGAATCATCTTGTAAGGGCCTGAGAAGCCAAAAGTCCGCCGGCCGCCACAAGCCCGTATTTGGTTTCCCGGATAGACTTCCATCCATTTCCCCTCCGCTACAAGGCCAGGGTTATTATTCGCCTCCAGCATATCCTGGGTTCGCGAGGGCGTGCGCTGGCCTTTTCCCGGTTCAGCTTCTTGTCAGCTTTGGAAAATTGGAACCTGGGGGAAGCCGTGGCCCTACTACTGCATAAACCCCCGTCACAGCTGGGCCTGCGCAATCTGACAACCTTCTGCCTGCGATTCCTTTGCAGCTTTGATTGTTGTTGAACCCAGACAGAAACTGCATCCAAGACTTGTCCTCAAACAAACGCAGCCGTCGTCATCGTCTTCCGCGAATACCTTGACCTCACCTCTAGCCTCATACCGGTGCCTCGAGTGCGCCAACCGTCGCCATGATGAAAAAGAAATCTGTCTATACCAACATCACCCCGATTCCCTCGCACATCCCCCGTCAACTGGCCATTGACATGCTGCACAGTCATGGCGAGATTATCGAGCTGAACCCTCTCGTCACCGGCTACAAACCCATCAAAGCCCCTCAGAATGCGCCCGCCGATGAATTCTTCTCCACGTGGTATGAAATCAATGAGAGGATCCAGTATGTGCCAGGGATAGGAAGAGCGGGATCAGGCAAGATATCCTTCAAGGGCTGCTTCCATGATATGCCGTGGGGTCTACAGACACATGTCTACGCGCCCATGGGCGTAGACTTGCGCAACAAGTGGCAGATTCGGGGCAATCAACCAGGTGAGCCGCCCGAGTCGAGAGAGCTGGGAAGCAATGCCCCTCCCGAGGGTCTTTATCTACGTGAGGACATTGAAATCAAATGTAACCCCGCCATGGTGTCATTTGTAAAGAAGGAGATGAAGGCCGCCTCGAAGACCATGGTCGACCGCTTGGTGAAAAAGGCCGAACTGATCGACGCTGGCGTGCTGAGTGCCATGATGGAAGACGGCAAACTCAAGACGTTGAATCCTGCAGATCGCTCCCAGACATTCCAACAACAAGGCCATTATTCCCCGTCCATGCTCTCTCCCCTCCCGCAATCCGCTTTCCCTCAATCCCCGGCTGTCCCGGCGTTTCAACAGTCGGCATATGCAAGACAATCCATGTACGGCGCTCCTGGCCCACAATACTCACCAGCACCGCAGAGCCAGGGTCTGGCGATTGAAATGGAGGGAAGTACGCATTTCATCCAACCGCCACCGCCTCAGCAACATCAACAACTGCATCCCAACCGGTTCTCGTCGGCAGTCTCTGAACTGTCTGCCAGCTCGCCAAACCAAAGCGACTTCCCACACACTAGCAGCCAGTCAGACCGGCAAAGCTATGCCGAGTCTGTCAGTTCGATGCCGAGCTCCGTCGCCCACAACGGGATGGTCTCGCCTGGCATGGAAAAACGAGCATTCATGGCCGAATTACCAGCAGGCATGGCACATGCGCCCAACAGATCGCCTCGGAGCCCAGACCCAAACGCTATGTCAGCGCAAGCTCAACAGCAAATGGCACAACAACAGTACCGATACAATCCTCAGGACTATGCTCGGATGTCATGAGCGGAGACCTTGTGTATCGACGAGTTTCTTTTGTGACGATCTTTGGATAACTGTATATCGAAGGCGTTCTGAGTTTTGATCAACGAGCCTAGTCAGGCGGAAGACGACCTCGGGGAGCTTGATCACTTGATATCGACCAGGAGCCATGAGCAGCGACGAGGGATACCACCTGCTCATGTTGCGCGAGCGATTGTCAAGTTACGTGGCCGAGGGTCGACAGGGCTATCTGCAGCCACTCCGCTAGACCTACAGATAGGCACCGCATGGTGTCTACCTACTCATGATCTAATACGAGACACTGGTCTCTCACTTTCAGACTTCTAAGCTCAGAGGAGCATACAGTTCGACTGGAGTATCTGGTCAATGCAGTCACTCACTTTATCATTCGAGACGACTTACAGAAATGACTGCCCATCTGTCGTTTCTGGACCCCACAACCAATACCCCTCCCATGAAGGGGGTTTTGACGAAGTTGCTTGGGCTATCCTTTTCTGAGTCGCGGCATGGCGGATGAAAGCGGTGCTTATGTTGATATGGCACTTTGAGATAGCGACTTCTTTGCAATTTGGAGAAATGGAGTAACGAGAGCGTGTCCGGGAATGTGATGTTGGGAATTGGGCTGATTTTGAGCCATATACCACTTGGACAAATCTAGATGCGTTGGAGTCTGGCAATGATTCCCTCACCTGACCCTGTCATTACTCTTTCATGATAGTTGGTTCCTACACGCAGCTTTGTTGCAACCATCCCAATCTTGTTCAGCCTTGTCCCTCAGCCTTGTCCTTGGCAAGCCAACGAAACCCCTTGTCACGTGTCTCCTCGGTTAACCTCGGTTTTCCCTTTGCAACGACGTCGTCTTCACGACTGACTCGATTTCTGGCCTTGCAGTCGAGATACCAGTATATGACTCGGGGCGGAGTGACTAATGCCTTATATGCAGAAGTTTATCCTGGACATCTGGGGCATTTCGATCTCTTGTACAGCGTGTGTTGAACTTTTGTCCTTTGCATTCTATTTCACGAAAGAGAACGGTGTCTACGTAGGCACTGACTTCGATAAACTATGGCTTGAAGAATATCCTGGCACTTCAGATCGAGGTGTTCCCCTGAAACACCGCTTCAAGAAATGCTGTCACGGCGACTCACTGCAGTTAGGGTGACAGCCTGTCTGATGGACACTGAATGAGGACTGCCGAATTGTACACTCTGGTCGAAATTCGCGAGAAGAGATGGCTTGCTGTGTGTTTACCGCATATTTTATGAGCCGCATCATCAAGGCGTGCGAGCTCTTCGACATTCGCCTCGTCGATATCAAGTACAACGATTCCGATCCCGACCCATATGCTCCTCCCAGCTTCCACACGTACATAAACCCGGGCCAGGAGGTGCCGGCAGCAGCTCCCAGAGGCGATACCATCCCAAGGCAAGGGGAGAAACTCCAAAATGAACCACTAAGGACGATTCGCTTGTTGATTACGGGGATGACCTGCTCCGCTTGCGTATCAACCCTGAGCCACGCATTGGCATCCGTCCCAGCTGTCATCCGAACCAACGTGTCTCTGCCACTGTCTCGAGCCACTGTGATATACGATGCCACCAAAACGTCAACAGCGGAGTTGGTTTCGGCCGTTGAAGACGCAGGTTACACCGCCGAGGTGCTTGGACAGCACAATCGTGGGTCTGCCGCCCAGAATCTCAAACTCGTTCGGCGGGAGGAAGAACTGCAGGCTTTGAAGAAAGCTTTCAATGGGGCAGCAAAGTGGGCTACAGCCATAGCTATTATTGATTGGGTGAGGAAGGTCTCCATGACAGCCAAACTCAGAAATACCCTGGATCCGATACTCTGCCTACTCACGCTTGCCATTGGATGTTACGTCCAACTTGTGCATGCGAATTGGATCCATCGCAACGCGTGGGCAAACTGTTTCTCTCGACAACGGCTGCAGCTTCCGAGCCTGTCCATGGACACTCTCTTGTCTCTGTCACTGCTGCTGAGCATTTTCCTTTCATTCTTCAACATTGTCCTCCACGGTCTTTCTGATGTCAACACCAAAACTTATTTCTCCTCGGCGTCCTTTCTTGCAGTGGTCATCAGCGGGGGCCGGTATCTCGACGTGACGCTGCGGAGACAGGGTGCGGCTGGGCTCGCCCGTCTCTTTCGATTGCAGTCAGAAGTCGAATTCGAGACTGTATTGTTGGAGGGGCGGTTGCAGGACTGCGATACCGAATCAGATGAGAGAGGCGAAGCCATGCTGACTCGGATTCCCACAAATCTTCTTGAGCCGTTGGACACATATCATATTTCGGCTCAAAGTCTCATCCCGTGTGACAGTTACGTGGTGCGTGGAACGTCTTTGGTGGATGAGGCGAGCATGAGTGGCGAGTCGCTCCCATCGCGCAAAACAGTTGGTGATTTCCTCATGTCGGGGACTCGCAATTTGTCTGCTGAACTCGTTGCTGTCGTCCTAAAAGACCAAGCAGACTCGAGTCTTGAGAGACTTGTGGCAAGCGTGGAAGCGGCAACGGAGCAGAAGTATGATCGCGCGCAGAACAACGTGGGCTCGGACGATCAGCCAGGGATAGCCACAGAAGATCTCATCACGAGGTATTTCGTCGCAACGATCCTTGTGCTGACCATGTTGGGCTTCGTATACACGTTTGTTTTCTCGGCAGACTCACTGCCGATCACTGATCGACTCAACCTTGCATCGGAGCGAGCAATGGCCATTTTGGCCTCAGCTTGTCCATGTGCCATTGGCTTAGCGACGCCTTCGGCGATTATGGCCGGTGTCGACGTGGCGTATGCGTCGGGAATTCTTCTCCCAGGGGGAGTGGAAGCTTTCAAAAACCTATCTCTCTTGACGCACGTGGTGATGGACAAGACAGGAACGTTGACAGAGGGCCGACTGCGGATCTCGCATGAGACCTTTGCGGAGCCATTTGACACGGATCAGGGGAAGAGGGAGTTATGCTACAGCCTCTTGAGCGCTGCGGAGAGGGAGGTCTCACAAGCGCACCCCGTTGCTCGGGCGGTGTTTCAGTGGTGTGTCAGACAGCTTCTTGCAGTGCCACAGTTTAAGGAGGGTCGTGGCAGAGAAACTGAGCCAGGTACTGCCCGAGTCAGGAACGTGTCCAGCATCACAGGCAAGGGTGTGTATGCAGAAGTCCAGGGGGCGGCTATGGCGTGGTACACTGTGCATATTGGCAGCGGCCGTCTTCTCTCCGAGAGTGGCATTTCCATCGCCCCAGCCGCCACAGATCGGTCTGGAGCCGCCAGAGGAACAACGGAGGTCTACTTTGCCATCGACGGCAAGTACGCAGGTTCCTTTACGCTGCAAGATACCATTCGCCAGGGAGCCCCCCAGGTTATCGAATCGCTGAAGGCGCTGGGTCTGAAGTTGACCATGTTAACGGGCGACTCGGAGACAGAAGCACATCGAGTCTCGTCGCAGTTACAGATACCGGTCCTTGCTGCCAAATCTCTACCCCACGAGAAGAGGGACTTGGTTGTGTCGGTGCGGTCACAGTGTGCTTGTGAAAGCAAAGGCCAATCTAAGAGAGGTGTGAGCAATGGCTTTGGTGTACTCGACGTTCTTGACTCGGTTCTACGACTATCCTCCGCGAAGAAAGGCGACAGAAGTGTCGTGGCGATGCTGGGCGACGGTTTAAACGATGCACCCGCCCAAGCTGCGGCGGATGTTGGCATTCTCTTCTCCCTTTCACCCTTGTCTGGTCGTCGCCTAGACTCAGCATCGCTGGCACTGGGAACCTGCGCTGCCGACGTGATCATCATGACACCCGATCTAGGCGCCCTGCCCAAGCTGATGACGATTGCCACCAAGACGATGGCCCAGGCAAGGTGGAACATGTACTGGGCAGTGTTTTATAATGCCTTTGCGATTGCGTTGGCCATGGGTGGCAGCGAGCTTTTGGGTTTTGGGACGGTCGATGCGTCCACGGCGGGTACGATGATGGCCTTGTCGAGCGTTACCGTGTTGGGGATGAGTTTGGATCTGCGGCGACGGCTACAATGAGAGCGGCGTCATGTCATGCCCTCTTCATCCTGCTCTACAGCCACCGAATGGCAATTGGTCAATACTCGCGAGACAGTATGCGAATGACAGGCCTGGGACAATGAGACGACAGGACAAAGGGAAAAGAAAAGAGAGATCTGCAATGTGCCCACATACTCGTATCTACGAGGTACAATTATAGTAGCAAACTACATATCAGTGTTGACGACCGTCGACATTACTTTTTGCCTCATGCCTGCTTCCTACTCTTACGTAAGAGTATGTATGCCCTTGCCCTTGCCCATGCGCTTTATGTGGAATGTGGTATGTAGAATGTGGAATGTAGAAGCTGGGATTTGCCCGACGATCACAACAACTCTCTCGATTTCCTGGTACGTGCCTATCAAGCTATGTACAGGAGGGTTCTCGGTACTCGGGACTCGGTCCAAGTGTTCGGTGTTGACATGACTCGCCTCGCCTCACTTTGCCTAAAGAAAAGATCCTTGATCCTGATTCTGAACATGAAGTGTTTCACAGAGAGACCTCGGGCAGGAAATCAGGGTATCAGTAAGATGGACAATGTTCAAATACCATGGCAGCATGGAAGACGGGTAGAATGCAGGCCCTGACTAGCGCAGGGATAATTTCCGGGGGGCAAATAAGAAGAGATGGATGGGTGGATGGATGCTCATCGATCGTTTTTTTTAAAATTCTCCTAAACCTGCCCTGTCCGTCAATCTGTGCCTTGTCTACGGAGGACATGTTCCTGGCAGATGAGTGGCAGTGAATGAGTGGCTCAAACCCCACACAGACAAGTCAAACAATGTCTCAGGACCCTCTCGGGGTATGAGCAAGCCTTGTCGATCTTCTCCCCACAAAGATCGACAGTGATGATCTCCTGGTTAAAATGCAACGTCATTTGTTCCTGGATGTTGGCTATACTGGGCCCTTCAGCTCGTCTATTTCCTGGAAACAAGTTGAATATAACCAAACTATACAGGGACCAGGGGGATGAGAAGCAACCACCGACCACCCACACAGCGGCACACCATCTTACGGGACGAGTACTTTTACCGCACTCGCTCCATGGGAAGGCCCCTGTTGTCGCACCGGATCAACTACTTAACGCAGTAAAGGCGAGATTCGGTTCCTTGGACACACACATAACAGCGATCGACGCAGGTACGACGACGTTGGCACCCAAGACTAGTGCGTCGATCAACGGTCGTGCAGGGCTGGGATCCCACCTACCTAGATACGGAGTACCTACATATTACTCAGTACTGAGTGTCCTGGCAATGGGTGATTGGGTCACTGGGCGACTGGGATCATCTCGTCGTATGGGGTCTGGGGTATAGGTATGAGTATGACTGGAGGACGGTGGAACAGATGATCGTCATCAATTCACAAACACGGCTCAGCTGAAGCGAAGTGATGCATTGACGATCAAGGAATCCATGTCTCCAAGCTCTCAAGCAGTTGGGGGAAACCGACCAGATCATGGCACGAGTATCAAATGCCTGGATAGTAGTTATCTGGTTGTCTCTTGGACAAGTATAAAGCTGTGCAAGGGAAGCTGTCACAGGTCTGGGACAAGGTCTTCCTCTCACTCTCTCCATCTTCCACCTCAGCGTTTACTTGGTTGATTCCTCAAGACAACACCCCATCTCCAGAGTCCATACCACCTCCTGCCAAACCTACGGTCCTTTCCAACCTCTCACAACCTCTCCCATCTCTGCTTTACCACCCACCACAAACCAAAAAAAAAAAATGCGCTTCACCACACTCGCCATCGCCCTCGCCGCCGGCGCCACCACCGCTCTGGCCTCGGCCATCCCGGGCAAAAGCGCCCTCGTCGACCGCCAGGTGACGCTGTGCACCGGCGCCGACAGCTCGGCCGTGTGCTGCGCGACCGATGTGCTGGGTGTTGCCGACTTGGACTGTGCGCCACGTAAGTGCCACCCCCTCCCTCCAGGGTTTTCCTTTTTTTTGATACTTTCCCAAAGATGTCAGACATGGACTTTTGGGAATAACAGTGAATACTTGGAATGTGTTTTGATGCTGACGAGTACTCTCTACAAAACAGCTCCTACGGCGCCCACCAGCACCGACGACTTTGGGAGCATCTGCGCCTCGATCGGCCAGCGCGCACGGTGCTGTTTGTTGCCTATTGTACGTTTCATACTCCGAAGAGCCTCTCATCGTTTACTACGACGATAAAACTGACGTAAAATCTCTGTGCGATAGCTCGGACAAGGCCTGATCTGCACATCTCCAGGGAAATAGGGCGCGAGGCGCGCGAAGGCGGGCGAGGTGTTACTCGTGAGAAAAATACCATAGCGCATGTATACCACAATATCACAATACCGCAATCCTCAGTGGCGAATCTCGAATTCTTCAATCTGAGTCATGACCAAGTTCTTCTAAACAGCGGCTGGTACAATTATGAACGACGCTTGGTGTGCTCTGAGAAGACTGGAGTCTATTGGGGAGGGGATGCCACAACTTCGCTGTGGGTTCGCTGTTCGCTGTTCATATTCTCAAAAGTGTCCAAGTTCCGTAAGAAATAATTGCAACTGAAGGAATGTAATGACAGCCCGGCGGGCTTGGACGCGTTTTGTATAATGGTTGTAGTATTGGGTATTACGACGTCATCCTAAAAGTACCCAAGACAAGGCTGATGCGGCTGACCTCGTCGAGTTGGGGGCGCCTACTCGCCTGTTCGAGGCCGGCGGTCAGTCCGGAAACTTTGCCCCGCACCAGTCCTATCAGAACCTTGACCGGCGAGGCACACCAAAGGGCTGAGGTAGATTTTTTGAAGGACAAGACAATGAAGGCGGCCCAGGAAGTTGACCGGAGATACTCTCGATGGGACTTGAAATAGAGCCTCACCCTTCTGTTCATGAACCAACCCCTCACGCGAAATGCCATTGAGCATGCCCGTCACCGTGGGGGGTCAACCTGGTGGGACATTGGTCCACGATACTCGCAACCAACCCCTGGCCCTCGTGGGGAGTTGATTGTTTGCGTCGGGATGGGTATTTTGAACCTAGCCAGGTGTTTGCTCACCAACCAATGGGGCAACTCGCTGAGCCGATGCTAGTTCAAGGTGACTCGAGAGGTTGTGAAGCAGCAAAGGGGTGACTCCCAGCCTGATTCACCGGGCTTGTGCGCCTCGTCACCTCTGACTGGTCCCACTCACCACACTGCTGCTTTAACACGAATGCTATCAACGGTCTCAGGCAGGATATCACCACAGACATGCTACAGGCCCAGAGCTTCTTTTGCCTAGGCCCACCGATCGTATATGCGAATTGGATGCTTCGTCGACAGAACTCATGTCTGCTGTCAGCTTGCACAGAGTCCCCTGAAGACACCAACGGTTCGGGCCTCGAAGATCCTGTGCTTGAGATTGGCAGTCCCATTCATTATGTGGCGTTTCATTGCTTGCACGAACTAGCCGAGCTGCTCCTGGCGCACGAAAAGCGGAAGGTCAATGTGAATCTGACACGAGGAATGTACTGGACATCACTTGAAGCCAGTATCTCGGGCGACTGTGAGCTCGAGGACCAGCTGAAGATGTTCAAGTTCCTCGTCAGAAAGGGCGGTAACCCGACCATTCCCGGTGGCTCCTATGGAAATCTGCTCAACTGCGCGGTGGCCACTGCGTCCGTATCAATCTTGGAGGACATTATGGCGGTCTGCGATGATAAGGAACTCAGTGTCAAAAATGCAGATGTAGAGGGCAAACTCGCCTCACATTTCGCCGCGACCGGCGCAAACCAGCGCGCCTTCGAGTTGGTGCTGCTTCCTCACCTTGAAGCCAAGGACAAGCAGGGCCGGGTTCCCATTCACTTTGCCGCAGTAGCTGGCTCACTCCCCACGCTCAGATTTCTTCTGGGGCACTCAGTTAACCTAAGACAGGTGGACAAAGATAACTGGAACTCCTTGCACTGGGCCTGCCGGCAGTGGGATACGGAAGTTGTTCGCCGCATTCTTGAAGCGGGTGGCCGGTCTTTCGTCGACGACAAGACCGCCGAGGGCTACACGGCTGAAAATATTGCAACTTTGCACCAAAAACTCACTTTATCCCGTACCTGAGGTCCAATAACGATGACGTGAGTGTTGCGAATGTTGACGAAGATGAGCTATCGAGGCTAGCGAAGAAGGCGTGGGAAGTATCCGCCGAAGCCTGTGTTAATTGCTTTTGTGTAAGTGTCTATACGGGCACTACCAGATTTACGGTACTGTGCTAATTCGAGGAAAATGCTGACTATGGATAGTTGAGCTGCGGGACGAGCCATCATTGCACTACGTGCCCAGACATTTATGTTTTTTTCAAATGCAATCGGCACGTCAAAGACATCCACGATCCTACCCACACGTTCGAGCCGCAGGGAGGTATTGGCTCATTAGATTCCGACCAGGTGGCCTAATCTAGTGTCAGCGAGAGCAGATTCTGGTCAAGACCGCAGCCACACATCCGACACGGCGATGTAGTCTCGGCACATGAACGGGTTGATACATGTCCGGCCTAGCACCAACTCTCTGGTTTCTGGGTCATGTGTCCGCCTCCGTCTCTTCAGGTACAGACACTCTAGCTCCCCGAACCATTCCAGGGCCTGGACTTCGGTTCTGCGGGACTTGTTCATCTCGAGCAGTGCCGAGGAGAGTGGGCCACCGATATCTTGCCGGATCCTGCGGAGCGAGACGTCGGCATCCGTCCTTTTCGCCAGAGCCTAGCTACTTTGGCGTGAGGCGTGAGGTGCGAGGCGGTTGGTGGATGGTGGGTGGGTGGTGGTGGGTTGAGGGATCAAGGATCCATTTCTTTCACCCTTTCCACCCTTTCGCCCTTGTGCCTGTGTCGGTCATTCCAAATTCTTGGTCCCATCCCTGCCAGGACGATAATGATAGGCTGGTTGATCACTCAGTGTCCATTGAGACTTTTATTCGACGCACCAATTGCGAATGCAGGTTTTCTAGATTTCCCAATATCAGATTCATATTGACAATTAGCCTGACCTACCGCCCTGGTGCCCCAGTTGTAGAGGGTCCAGTTCCATGTCCAACGAGGTGGTTGATAGTGAGGAATGAGGCTGACATGTATCATCAAACCTACCAATGGAACGAGTCAATGCCCAGGCAGGCAGTCAGGCAGTCATTGATTACTGCCCCACGCGGCTGTAGCATTTTCCCTCGAGGATTATGTACACATGGTCCAAGTGTCCCTAATACTACCTGTGAGCGACTGAGTACGACTCTCGGAAATTGTCTTCAGCAATATTTCTATCGCCCTAACTAAACTCAAGAGCGATAGAGGACGGAAACATGACTCGGCACTACCACATTCGTCTACACTGCGTTATTGTTCCTAGGTATCTATCTATGTACCGAGTATGTATGCATGTATGTATGTACGTACGACACGGCTAACGGCAGATTAAAATAGTCCTTTCCAACCTGGTATGGAAATATCCTCGACTTGACGCACCACATATACAGAGCAAAGAGCAAAGAGCAATAATCCATTATAAAGATAACCAAACAGCCCATGCGCTATAGTATATAACGCCCAGTTGACAACAAAAACATCCATATGGTCTTCCCATTGCCATTTTACCCCAGTTGATAAGCAAACACCATTCCTGTATCTTCCCACTTTATACCCTGCCACGTCTTGTAATCACTCCTTCAGATCCCCCGGCGTCGGCTCCGTGCTGATCGCCCCGAGAACTTTCCCATCCGCGCTCTCCCCCCCGGCCAGCTTGAGGACCTCTCGCAGCTGCGTCTTTGCCGGCCACTCCGTCTCGCCCTGGAGGATCTTGGCCGCCGTGACACCGGACCCGTACGCGTCGACGTTGATGCTCGGGCGTTCCTTGATGACGGTGCCGTCGACGGTCAAGCCGCCGTAGAGGCCGCGGGACTTTGTGTAGGTCCAGATCGGGTTGACTTCTTTGGTGCTGATGTCTGCAGTGCCGCCGATGGGGCCGGCGGCCACTGACGCACCTGCCCCCATGGTCATTTCGCTGGTCATGTACGCGTCGACAGCGTCCTGCGTGTTGAGCACGCACACGCAGTCGTACACGTCGACGCCGTAGACGACCCCGATGCCGCCCGAGCGTACGGAGAATGCCGAGGGTGCGGACCACGATCCGTCGGCGAGTCGCGCGACGACCACCCCAGACCCGCCCGCCCCGGCGAGGTACATGGCGGCGCGGAAGCCCGAGAAGATGGCGAGCCCTTTGGCGTTGGCGATGACCTGTGCGGGTATTCGGCCTTTGTCTGCGCGTGTGTGTCAGTCTGGTTCTAACATATCATGGAGAGGCTGGAGGGAGGTAATGCCGCGCACCAACGAAGCTCTTGAGGATTTGCGCCGCCTTGTCGCATTCTTTGCGGAGACTGCCTGTCATGGTGCCTTTTGGGGATTGATGGAGTTGGGATGCACTGTCTTGTCTCGCAGTAGTCTGCCGAGTTGTGTCGAGGAAGAGAGGTGATAGTAATTCTAGACAGTGAGGTTGATCAGGAATAAACCTGTAGAGAGGTCAAGTATATCAGGCCTTTTAAATCGAGACGAGGGAACAACGTTGAGTGAGTTTGCTGGTCATCGATCTTGAACAACGATGTCAACAAAGACCCCTTACTTGTATTTATGGAACAAGCCATGGCCTTTTTCAGATCGTATCGTTCAAGGCTAGACTTGGACCCTTGGTTGCTGGGCATGATCACACCGTAGGAGTACCAGTCGACAAGGTCAAGGCCGTGGCGTCTATGACATGGAGAGAAATCGTAGCATGAACTGTGTTGCACCTTAGTCACTGCGCAGCAAGCAAGGCGCAGCAGGGACGGGTCCTTTGTCGTATGCTGCGTGTCCGTGATCCATGACGACGGAGCGAAGGTTTTTTGGAATTATTCCTCAGTAGCTTTGCGGCGCGGAGGTGCGAGGCCGAGGAAGACCGCAGGCCTATCGTCCGGGGAACGGGAATTAATTCTTGTAGCAAATGTACGAGTACGAATATGAGCGAGACGAAGTGTCATGTGTCGCATGCAGGATGGCATTCTTGACGTCGGCGCCGAAAAGTGTTTGGTGGAGGTTGAAATAATGCAGAAGTGGGAGATGGCACTGGTGATGGGGCGCGTGCGTATCCGCGTAAAAGTGGAGTCGATGTCGAGGGCGAAAAGCGTATTCGTGAGGCCTGTCAGGCTGGAGTATTGAGTATTCGATGCGAACCCTCCCACCCTCCATGTTCCCATGTCCCCTTGCATGTCCCAGCATCTTGGCTGATCAGATTAGTCTTTCTCGTTAGAGACCCTGAATTGCGGTTGTGGGAGGTTGTGCCTTGCCACGTGTCGGCGCTGTTGGTGTCACCGTTCTAGGAACAGAAAGACGGAATTCTCAAGTGCGGCAGGGGCATTGGCTACGAACATCTCCTGATTCAATAAACGCATGTTCTAATGTTCTAGACCACAAACAACCTCTTCGCAATGCCATCATGCCACTCTCTCTGCAGGCAGACACTCTATACGCCGGCTATCCAAATACAGCTCTCTCCGAGCCTCGTAGCCTCGCAAGGGCAGGAAGAAAGACGATGTTAGTCCTCACCGCTACCAAGATTGGATACAGGCACAGTTGTACTTATGGAGAAGATTGCTATGCCATCATGCCAGGGACATTGAACATTGGAGGATTGGTGGAGATAGGAAACATTAGATTGATTCTATACACTGTACAACTCCCGCGTCTACCAAACGTGCTCCTTCGCATGTCTGACGGATACACCCGCTGCAAGGTGTCTTCTCTTGTCTCGCTGTATGACCATGGATACAAAATAAAGAAACCCCCAACGCCATACTGGTAAAAGATCAACCCCCCTGCTGTCCCTGTCCCTGCCTGCAAGATCCATAAACCCCACTTCAACCCCCTCGTAAACGACCTCGCCTAAGCATTGTCAAACCCCAACTCCCCACAGCTGGATGACAGATGATTATTTGGGGACCTTTTGCCCGCGACTCGGGTCTTTGATGTGATACGGTGGGGGCTCGCTGTACACATATTGCGGGAGCTGGTCCACGGAGCGACGGGCCGCTCTGTTCTCCAAGGCCGAGGCACTGGGAGGAATCGAGTCGTAGGGCGGTGCCTGTTGGTCTTTGTCTTTGAGGGCGGCCTTCTTTTTCTTGTGGTCCCGCACTTTTTCGGCCGTGAAGTATATGGCGGCGCCGAGGGCGAGGGCGAGGGCAACCATTGGAGAGAGGAGTGAGGGAGGTCGAGGTGATGATGTGAGAGACGGAGTGAGGGTTTGCCGGTTTGGTTGTTGAAGGATGAGACTGGACGCAAGGAGTGTCTGTGCCCGAGGTGTTGGTGTAGAATGATGAGGATGATGATGATGGATCAGGATGATAGTGGACGAGGTAGATGTGTCAAACGCAGGCCAGATCAAGCGCTTTATAGCAATCCTCCGAAGTTGTCTGCTCTTGACTTGATGCACTGAACCATCAATCTTGAATGCGCATCAGCAGTGCCCCAGTGGGGATTGAATTGATTTCAGTTGTTGCTGTTGTATCAGCCTCGTTTGCTGTGCGAGTCCCGAGTTTGTGTTTCTCTTCCTCTCCATCTCCATCGCATACTAGCTTTTGCTGCGCACTGCCTCTGCCTACAAACTTTGCTCTGATGCATCCCCGTCGTCATTGATCCAAAAACCACTAGCGGCCTCTCCCGCCACTACAGGTACAAATTGTCATAGCGCTGCAGGGTCGACTCCACAAATACGCTCCCGCGAAGCGAATACGCCCCTGGTCGGTCTAATCCCTCCGACCACATGTCCGCCATCCCCACCGTCGCCCAATTTCTCAGAGTGCCTCACAAACTAGTCCACCATGAGGTGCTTACCAACAAAGAAAGCCTCGTCTTTGCGGGGGACATGCTTCATCACTCGTATGTTCAACGTGAACAAGTACAGCAATACGATGGATAAATTCCGAGCGCTTCTCCTTTCCAATTGCGAGATGGGTTGTCTGTCTGGCTCTATTATCCACCCCGTCGCTCCATCGCGTACTCGGACTCCGCCATGGCCCATATTGTAACCATGCTCAGTCGACTGTCCCGATTGTGCGCGTTATTCATACGGCCCTAGACAACAGAGCCATGACATCTGAGTTACTCTCGTCGTTGACCAGCAGCAACGTCATACCTCACATTGCAGACTTGAGCAGAGCTGACTGTCTACCACTATATAATGCTGTCCTCGCTGCCGCCGTTCGATGAAGGACACAATCAAAGCTTCCGCAACTTCTCACTCATCCTATTGCCTCGCCCATTATGGCCGCCGCCTTTATCGTAGCCTTGTTGGCTCTGTCTCGTACTGCCACCGCTTCGCCCGTCAAAGCTCCTCAGAGAACCAACGGATATTGCAAACAGTTGGACATCCCGGTATTCGCTTCCGCAGATAGCGCCATCTACGGCCACCGGAGAGTGGACAGCAACATTGAAGCACGAGCTTGGGCCGTCTACGAAGACACCTGGAGCACTCCCCAGGGCGTGCAGACTGTCGTTAAAAACACCACGACGGCCGGAACTTTCAATATCCACGCCCAGCTGTGCGTCCCCAAAGCCCCTGCGGCGAAAAAGGACATTCTACAAATCGCGACGCACGGCGCACACTATGACGGGAGATATTGGGACCCTGAGCTCCAACGGGACAACTTGTCGTATGTTGAAGCGTCGCTCAGAGCAGGATACTCGATCCTCACGTACGACCGCCTCGGAGCCGGTCAATCGGACCATCCAGACGCGTACAATGTGGTGCAAGCGCCGCTGGAGCTCGAGATTCTTCGGCAGTTGACCCTGATGGCGCGCAACGGGACCATTTACAGCCTCGCAGCAAAAGCACAGCCTGCGACGGCGCAGTTCAACTCGTTGACCGCCCCCAACAAAATCGTCCATGTCGGCCACAGTTTCGGATCGTTCCTCACTTCGGCGTTGGTGGCCAAATATCCCACTCTGACCGACGGGGTGATTATCACCGGCTACTTTTACGGCAAATACCTGGGTGCGCCGGGCATGGCGTCGTGGGGTGTTGACTTTGCAGCCACGAGCACCCCTCCCTTCGACCGACCGAGCGGGTACGTCGTGTGCCAGAAGTCCGGGATCCAAAATCTCTTCTTCGGGGGCGATCCCGCCACGGCCTTCACCCAGGAGATGTTTGATTACGGCGACGCGCTCAAGCAGCCCGTGCCTGTCGCGGAGTTGGCCTCGGCCTTCCACATCATCGGCCTGCAGGGTCCCGGCCTTAAGGCACCGGTGCAGTACATGCTGGCCGAATTCGACTTTTACATCTGCGACGGCGACTGCAAGGGGGCGTACGAACCGCAGGCTTTGAGGGCGACGTACCCCAACGCCGCCGTGGTGGAGGACTATATCCAGCCCAACACGGGGCATGCGTTTACGCTGCACAACAACGCCACGGCCGGGTACCAGGTGACTTTTGACTTTTTGGAGAGGAACGGATTGTGATCTGGATTGAAGTAGGAAACGAGTACAATGTAGGAAGGGAAGTGTGAGGAGCAGTATATTGGGAAGAGATTGATTTTATCAGGACGTTCGGCTTATAGACTGCGATTCCTTTTTTGCGTTCCTTTTACTATATATCATCAGATAATAACCAAGGTAGATATGAAATCTCCTGGCTTGATTTATCGTCTCTGACCTGGACTTGTCGCTCTGTTTGAGTAAAGGAATGCCGGAGAGTCGTCGACGTCGTCGTTGTAGTTGTCATTGCCAATACCATTGAGACCTGCGATATTGGTTAAAAGTAGATGCTCTCTCACCGTGGTATATCCTCGTCCACTCTTATTCGCGACGCGTTCCTCGACTACTGAAAACTACGCCATTGCTTGCTCGAGGTGGACAAATCCGTCCCAATCAAGTCACCGATCCAGTCTCAGCAGTGTCCGGGTCCGAGTACGAAGAATCCAGATTCAGGGTTACAGTCGAGACAATGAAACGGTTGCTCCAAAGTCAGGGTCGCATAGATGAGAGAAGATGCGGTAGGTGTGATGAGTAGCACAGCATATGCATATAATATGCATGTGTTGTTGTTGTCGCAAGATGCCGAGGTCTGGTTCTGTCTGGTATGGGGGAGTTGCACTTTCCTTGCACTCTACGAAATATCGATTACAGATCTACAGTTCCCTTTTGGGCGGTGTCGGGTGCTATGTATCTCCTGCCTATTGCCTACAAGTATACCTCGAGCCTAATCCGTCCTTCGTACTCGTATATTATCTCCCTTGGACATGTCCGTCCCCGGGTTTCATTGGGAATGGCGTGCCACAAACAAAAAAAAAACCCCCACTAGAGCATCTACCCACAACCTACTATGTACTAAAACGAGGCTAGAGAGGAAATTGCAAATGCTGATTAGCGAAATCGGATGCGAAATCGGTGTGGACATGGACAGGGACGGGGGACGGGGGACGGTGAGAAGAGTTTCTGGCCTGATGCACGCAGTTGTAGTTGTGACTCGTAGTTGGGGCTCGTAGTAGTAAATGCTCAGCCTCGCCCACCATGGCCAAGCTGGGTTTAGTTGGGCAAGTTGGTTAAAGGGCGCAGCCACAATAATTAAATCCCACCCCAACACTGGGAGACACACCACCCACACCACCACACCACCATCTCACCTCTGGCCTGGACAAGATGCTCAATGACTTCAGCCAAGGCACCATCGCAGGCCTCACCACAGGCAGCCCTATTGCCAAGATGCAATCACCATGCGACGCCCATACCTCGTCCTACTACTCCTACTCCCTCCACTGCTACTCCGCCGGATGGCAGTCGACCGTCCACCTACCAGAGCCATCTCAGGCTAATCAAGCGGAATACCGCGGTTCATCGCCCGGTGGAGCTCAGACTCAGGCACAATTTGTAACAAGATTTCCACGCGCCACCAGCTGTCGACTGCATGTCGCAAGACCCTGACAATTCTTGTCCCCAGACACCCACAGAGGACCCTGAACAACTGAGTCAGCTCAGCTTCTCCCCAAACGGTCGAATAGGAAATCTCTATTAGAAAACCCCCAAGCGGAACGACTTCCAAACAAGTAAAGCAAGCGAAAGACAAAATACAATATCAAAACCAACGACCCCGATGCTCTATAGCCCTACGATACGGGAAATCTCCTTGGTAGTTGCTGGTAGTGAGGAATCTCCGAGTAAGAAGGATTTCGATGGATCGAAGCTCGTCGTCGTCATCGCCGACGTCCAACCCCTTCCCGCCGGGGTTTCGGTCCAGGCGATCCCACGCAAAATCTCGCAATGGCTGTTTGACGTGCAAGCAGAGAAGGAAAAAGGTGAGCACATACGTCGCTGATCATTGAGGACATGGCGGGACTAACGCCGTCGACAGTGCGACGAGAAGAAGCCGTGCTGTACACTCTGCGAGACAAGTCTGAGGACGTGCACATATGCAACAGAGCAGCACGAACGAGCTTCAAGACCGAGCGAAAGCCGTCCGCCCGTGTCGGCGTCTTCGCTGCCATCTCCAGTGCCGTCGCCGCCCCGGTCATCTGGGAGTCGATTAGCCCCTCCACCGAGAGAAATGCTGTCCAAGTCACCGGTGCCGAGTAATGCGCCCCAAAATCAAGGTGGGAACGACATTGTCCTCTCCAACGTGACTGACTCGGACCTCTACTTCCATTTCCTCAACCATACGTGCCGGACCGCGCCCAGCTGGCAAAAGGACCGCATCGTCTTGCAGGTCGGCATCGCCAAGCTGGCCCTCGAGAGCGAGCTCGTCTCGCACTCGGTTCTGGCACTATCTGCTACGTGTCTGTGCTGTGACACCATCTCCGCCGGTCGAAGCGCCGATCCCGAGACGGTGCGGCACATTCTCGACATGGGCTTGGAGCATCACACGCTGGCCCTCGAGCAGATGCGGACCATGACGTCGCGACCGAGAGAGTCAGACACGCAACCCCTGATCGCCAGCTCTCTGATGCTGGTCCCCTTTGCCCTCGCCTTCCAGCACATTCAGCACTGGGTGCTCCGGGCCAAGGGCGCACGCACCACGGACCTCTTGACCCCGCGCGACATGATTCTCTTACTGCGCGGGATCCGGACGACCATTGTCGCGCTAAACTCCAACCCCGTCGAGCCAGGTACTTCAAAGTCCAAGTCGCCGTGGGAGACGATGTTTTCGGCAGCAGCCCAGTCGGCGGGAGACGCCGCGACAGGCTCACCGACCATACCTGAACGGTCGCATACCATGTTTCCCGTTGTGGGGGCGACGTTCCACCAGGCCTCGTCCCAGCTGCGATGCCGGATAGATTGTGCGCTGGCCGGGCCGCAGGTCGACGAGAACATGGCCGCGGTCTACGGGGCGTACGAGATTCTGAGCGACATCATGACCAGCACGTTTACAGAGTGTCCGGAGACTGAGATTCCCTTTGAATATGCTTCTTGTGTGAGTTTCTCTCCCGCCTATTCTAGCCACCTCTTGCATGGAAAAGACGCGCTCATCACTAAAGTTCAGTGGCAAAAGTTCTCCGTCTCGCCCGACAGCCTCCTCGCCCAGGCGCCCGGCTGGCTCCACAACTTCATCCTACAGCGACCAAATCCGACGCACGCAGAGCCGCTGGCACGATCATTCCTGGCCTTTTTCTCCAGCGCGCCACAGACGTACGTCGACCTGCTCCTGCCCCTTCTCGATCCTCACGCGGGCATGAACGCCGTCGCCGGGGACGAGTATGGAGACGAGGAGAGAGAGCTCACGACAGCCGAAATCTTGGCGCTGGATGTCTATGCGCACTGGCTGGTGCTGATGCTCCTGTTGGAGAAGGAGACGTGGTGGGTGGGCGAGTTCCCGTTCGTGTCGCTGCAGGGATTGATTGCGCGGTACGGAACGGCGTTTTTGGGGGGTGGCACTCGGCAGGAGCAGCAACAGCAGCAGCAGTGGTGGTGGCCGGCAGGGATGCTGGAAGTCGCTGCGCGGGTGAGACAGTGGAAGTAAGACAGTCATGGTAATTTATTGGTTTGTTGAGCGATTCGCCCCATATCGGGCGATGGATTTCTTTTGACGAGACGCATAATGATCTGGATGAGAGGATATCGATGGATGGATGAATGGATCGTCCGGACGAATAGCTAGAGATATATGTTGATAGATACCCCCATGTCGCATGTCGCGTGTTACATGTTCCTTATCCCATATCCCATGTTCCATGACAATTCGTTCATTCATTCATTGCTTCACCATTGGCGGATATACCCCCTGATCTCTACGAGTAGTCGTTTTTCTATACCGTGTCCCAGGATACAGAATAGGAAGGTCACAAGAGATCCTACCACGGAACGAAAGAGTCTTTTGAGGAACAAGGAGGAGGAGGAGGTGGTGGTGGTGGTGGTGGTAGTAACGATGGTGATAGTGAGAGTGGGTCAAGCTACTTAATAGTGACTTATATGACTTCCGGATCGAGTTAGAAACGCGCACGGGGAGTGATTTGTGTAGATACTCTCGACTTTCTCGTACTTACCTACGTTTTGGCAAGTTGACTACCTCTCTACCTGACTACCTATGTGCATAGACGCCTTGCGTGACGCACAGGTCTCAAGTATCAGGTGATCAACCCACCCGTTTATCGAAACTCGGACGAGGTTCTACTAGTGTTGTCACGAACAAAAGTATCAGGATGGAAATCTCCCGACCCCAGCAATGATTCCCAAGGTGTCGGCGGTCCTGAATTCGACATTTCATTCTGTTTTGCTTTTCTAGAGATGTCGCTTCGTAACGCCATGCTCTTCGATAGAGCTCTCCTCCAATACCCGAGAGATCACTTCCCACTTCCCGGCCGAACACATCCCGCCGTAGCTCGACACCAGCAGTGCCTTCTCCGTATATATAACCTCCCACCTCCCACAAAACCCCCGACTCTCCCAAATCTTCCAATTTCCTCCCCCGTCTCCCAATTTTCCAGGGGACAACTACGGACACCCGACATTACTCTTCGTGACGCCGGGCTGGCCCCGACAAATCAGGTGCACGTCGCGGGTCGAGTCGTCAAACTTGTCGGTGCAGGACCAGCAGTCGATGTTGGAGTCGGAGACGCGGATGGGGAACCCCTGGATGTGGATGGTGCGGTCGCCCTGGTCGCACGTGCAGGTGCCGTGCCACTCCGGGTTGATGGCGCTGCAGATGCCCAGCAGCTGCGGGCACTCGCAGTTGTCGAGCGGGTTGCCGTAGATGGTCGTCACGCCGAGCCGGATGTAGTGCTCGCCCAGTTGGCACTCGCCGCGGCCGCAGTTGACGTCCTCGGTCACGGTCAGGCAACCGATCCCGTCGAAGGCGGTGGTTAGGGGCGAGAGGAGGACGAGGAGGAGGAGGAGGTGGGTGGCGATTGTGGCGGAGATGAGGGGAAAGGTTGGCAGTCTCATGGTGTCGATGGGTAGTGAGAAGATGTCTTTGCAAGTGAGGCTTTGTAGTGTCTGGAGTCAGTAGATAAGAGTAGACATCTAGTTCTTTCTGTTCCCAACTAACCCTTCTCTTCCAAGTCAGTCAGTCTCCTTTATATACCTTCCTCCCTCCCCCCCTCTCCCTCTCTCGCTAGAAACCCCCATTCATCCCAGTACCACACTGGCTGTCTTAGCTAGCTAGCTAGGCACCACCACTCCTATTCACCACATGACATGAGACCCAGAACCAGACCCAGACCCAGACTCAAACGCACAGTCGCCGCCACTATTCGACACCAGAGTACCGCCAAGCCAGCAGGATTTGATTAGTTCCCGCGTCCACGAATGAGTAAAGTATCTCTACTCGTCCCGACCGTGGGTGAAACGGTGAAACGGCGATTTGAGGAGTCGGTAAGCGCTAGATGAAGACGTAGGGACGAGTCGTGGAGGCAATGGAGGACCACTCGACAGGTGAACAGGTAGGTGTATCATATAACTAGGTTGAGTAGATTGAGTAGTGTAATAGTGTATGTAGGTAGATTGACTAACTTCGACTGGGGTTAAAAAGGCCGAAGCTAGAGAGAGAGAGGGGGGAAAACCCAAGGATGTAATACTCCATACGTTATACTGTACCAGACATTGAAATGGTCCAGTGAGGGGGGTCCCGATTCACCGCCAAACAGTAGGTTCGAGCACAAGGTCGGGTCAAGAGAGTATGCCAAGCTTCTAGCTCACGATTTCCACTGGAACTTCCGCCACCACACACAGTGCCGCTCGAGACATGGAAACCCCTCGAGCGAGGACCCTCCTTTCTCGCCGTGTGTCCTGTTTCCCGTGGAAGTATTCATTTTGTTACGAGTCACTCCATTGCGAGCGAATCTCTCCGTTTGATATTGACAGCTGATTACTTGGACGCCCGTGGACCTTGTCCGCTGTACTTTGGGTCTGGTACTTTTGTTTCCCCCGCAAGCTCCCCTAATGGCGAAGAAGGCTCGGCAAAAGGCAGAAACGAAACACTCAAAGAACCAGACCGGCGGGAGACGATCCTACCAGCACTAGTGAGGTACCGAAGAACCAGTCAGGATCCTTATAGGGCTGTTGGGACTGAGGAATGGGGTCTGACCACCCAAGATCTCCCCCTTCCCTGGTCTTCGCTAGTGGGTTGTTGATTAGATACGAGTAAACAAGTACCGAGTATGGAACTGGTAGAATAAGAAATTCATTGGTTCTCCTCCCGGTGAATCAATCAGTCAGTCATTGTGTGGTGGTGAATCTGCGGATCGGAGGATCAGTGGATCAATGGATCAGCGGTCCTGTGGTGTTACTATTGCACGAATACTAGAAACCGAAGTATTTGGCGATTTTGGCCCCATTTCTGGCCTATTGATTCGCCCCAATCGGGGCAGGTACCTGGACAAATTGCCTATTCGGGAAACACCCCTGGCCAATCACATTGTTCGGCACGCCTCCCAAATTCGCTTGAACCCTCCCCCCCCTTTTCCTCTGCGATCTAGTATATACCAAAGTACCTACCTGTACCGAGTACTCATCTGTCTAGGTAAGTCATCATCGAGTGTTCGCACTGAGCAAGGACCCCGTAGCAGGGCAGCCGATAAACGATCTGTGCTTCCGAGTTGTTGGGACCAGGCAGTTCGACATTGATGGTTTTCGCCCGAAGTGAGCTTCTCGTCTGGTCTGGTTACCAGCGATTCACCGCGTACCAACCAACCGTGTCTGTGCTAGTCGACAGTCGAGTCTGCGAGTAATTCTGATTATTCTTCTTGGCCCCCCCACCAAATAGCGAAAAGAAAATGTGCCCCAAGGCCGATCTAGCAGTAGTCCCCACGAGTCGTCCCTCTGATGGTCCATACCTACTCGTCTATTGCCCTGGTTTCGACTACTCGAACAGGCAAACGGTTTGTCTAAGGATCAGGGAGCAGGCATCGGCGATATGAACCTCTGACAAACACGGTTGGGTCTTCCAATCTGTCACAGGTTCCATAAAACCCGAACCTCCCCCCGCTCACAAACAAATACAAAAGAGGACCAAGGACAAGTACAAGTACAAAGCAGGCATCGACATGAAAACCATACAAGTAATAAACCCCCACTGGTACAGAGGTACGAGGGATTCATCTATGAGAGGGTCTACAGAGGTTTGACCTTGTACTCGTCCTCGTCCTTGTCCTCGTACACGAATTTGTCTGTCATGCTGGTTCCGACGGATCTTGTCCCACCGTGATCGATACCCCAAGTGTCTTTCGCACTATATTTACCTCAACATCATGTTGTGGTATTGTTCTCCGCACATTGCACTCTTCCAACACATTCGCGGTGTCGCCCTAGTCACCAGCTATGTCACACTGTAAATGAAAAATGTCGGTGCCTCTCCCTCTGCAGTCGAACTCATCGACAGCTTCCCCGTAGTGTCGATTGTCACCAAATCTCCATCGCTGCTCACCAGGTTGTACCCCTTTCCACCCCCGAGGTAACGAATAGCATACATCACCGCCATGGTCTTGTTGACCAGCTCCATGTTCGCCCCCATGTACCGCCCATCCACCGCACTGCTAATGGTATACTTCCGACTGTCTGTGGCCGTTTCATGAATCACCCACCAATGTGCCATCGAGGAATGCGAAGCCGTCGCCTTGGTCGCGTTAAACTCTGCGGCCTCGCCACCGGGGTTGGAAAGTGCATAGCCCGACGACTCAAAGGTGAGGTAGCGGCCCTCGGTGAGATACCCCCTGACTGACTTGAACCCCTTCTCAGAAACGAGAGAAGTCTCTTCGCTTTGGTTGCCGTAAGGCACTGGTGGCCGCTGGACGGCATATTGTGACTCACAAAAGGCTGAGCCGTCCCAGACACCCTTGCTATCCTTGTGTGGTTCCTTTGCGAGGGGTATGGTAGGGATGGAAGTGTCTGGCCTGCTAAAGTCAAATGCTGCTGTCAGATCCGACATGTGTGCTCGACGCCAGGTGGGCATCTGGTCCGTAACCACGTTGTCGAACCCTTTGGCCGCCAACCACTTTTCAACAAACATGATCTGGGAGTTGTGGTCGCATTTCTCGGTAAAGACGTTGCCACCCCGTGTCCACGGCGAGATGATATAAAAGGGAAGACGGAACCCTGGCCCGGAGAATGTCTGCCCGAACAGCCCGAACGGGTCGTCCAACCACTCGCCTGCCGTCCCATTGGGGGCGTGGTAAGGAGACACATGGTCACCCCAGCCCCCAGTCTCGTCGTAGCTGATGATCAAGGCAGTGCTGTTCCAGTTCTTCCCCCGAGTGACGGCGTTGACCACTTGCTGCTGGAGCCATGCTCCGTCGTGAGGAGAGTATGGGGGATGCTCCGAGAGTTCCGTGGGACCAACGATAAACGAAACCATCGGCAAGGTGCCATTTGCAGCCTGTTCATAAAAGGCGTCAAGCCCAAGGAAAGACATGCCCCGTTTGTGCAGGACAGTGCCGTTCTTCGCCGTCTGGTACTGTTGGAACCATGCAAGAGGGTTGTCATCGAAGTTGTCAATGTCTTGAAATACCTGCCACGTAACGTTGGCTTGCTGATAGATCTCGGGCGTGGTGGTCCAGGATAGCGGATAACAGTTCAAGCCGGGTGCTTCACAGCCAGGCATTTCGTTGTTGTCAATGTACACGCCGCCTTCATCCGCCTTCTGCGGCGACCCAGGGACTGCAATGGAGCCGCTGACCCAAGTGACACGGTTGGGGTTGGTGGACGCTATTACGCTCTCTTGATACATGTCACCGATCGTCCACCCTTCTGCGAGAGCAAACTGAACAGGAAGGTCACTCTTCTTGTAGTATCCCCAACTCCACGGTGTATTCTGTGTCGAGGGTCCATCAGTGGGATGGCAGCAGAGAAACTTCAGCGGATCCAAGAACTCACATTGAGAGCCCAGTGATCGTTCAGACCAAAATTATACGCAAGGTGGTTCTCCTCATACCCGTTGGATCCCGCATCCATGCACTGCGTCGCATTCAACCAGTGGCCGCCCAACTCATTCAAATAGAATGGGAGCAGGTAGTCGGCCTTGGTGGTGATGGTTTTGTTCAATTTCCTAAACGAGTCTCAGGTGCGTTCCCTACCAAGTGGTGCATCTCACCTACTGATACCAAACAGACTTGCCGTTGGGGTTGATCTGGACATTGGGGTCTGAAAAGCCTCGAACGCCGGCCATGGTGCCAAAATACTGTCCTGGGATCAGCAGAAACCCTTCATCGTTACTCTCCCACTTACATGATCAAAGGCTCGATTCTCCTGCATGAACAGGACCACATGGTTGATGCTCGCCAGCGAGTCTGCAGAGACACCGCTCCCCACGAAGGCAGTGGCAAGCACAGCATACAAGCCAGACAACGAACGCATGGTGGCTGTCGTACTTGTTGATAGAGCATCAAAGTACGTCCCTCACCTTGCGATATACGGGACCCCAGTCCTATATAGCGTTATTGTCCTTCTCCTTGAATAGTTATTTCGTCCAGTGCACTGTTCCTTGTCCATAGCGGAGTTGTACGGACCTATCAAGGGTACCCAATTGGAAAGCACGTATATCCCCTCGTGCACGTGGTGGTTTCCGATGCCGCTTGCGGTACAGTCTGGGCAGCGACGAGGCTGCGGGCTTCATACCGAAGCCGCCTTATGAAGCAGGCGAATGAGTTTGAGAGGTGCGCGATGTGACAATGGAAGAATGTCGTGGAGCCGGGATCTGCATTAGGCACGACATGCATAATTGAAAGTGTCAAATGGCCAGATTTGCAGACACGTTGTTGTGACGCCGAGCGTTATTCGCTTCCTCAACCCAGCGGACATCGACACAGCATACCATCTTCGACGCTTTGGCAGCAACAGGAAGGTGACTAGGATCTTTGGACAACAACCAATGAACACACGTCCAGCTCTTGCGTCCTTCCTAGAATGGCATGTGTCGTGTATGTACCGGTATGTGGTCAGCGTGTATTTGTACGAGGGAGCAGACGGAAGGTGACTTTCCTCCTGTCGCTGAGTGATCAGAGACATATCCAAATTCATCAGCTAACTTCCCAGCTCATGGCCATGCCACTCCCGAGGTGCCATCCGACGTGACAATGCATCATCCAGGTCCCCTTGTTATCGGCCCGGAACCTGATCACAGCGTAGCCTCTTTGGGGGACGAAGACCGTATCCTTCTTTGGCGGGTTCTCTAAATTGTACGGACCGGCAGGGGACTCTAACGGTGGGTCGGCGAATGGATTGTAATTGTACATAGCAGTGCCTCCTGCGGTGAAGGGCGGTCTCTCACTGCTCCAGGGGGTTGGTGGTGGGAATACGGAGACGACGTAGAAGGAGTATCCATGTAGATGGAACGGATGGCCACCGTCATCGAGGTTGTTGATGACAATCTCGACCCATCCGCCAGAATCGCCAGCAATAGTGTCATGACCATCCTTGACTAGCGGGATGTGTGGCGACAGCTGGTTCTGATCATATTGATCTCGAGTCAGGGAACGCAATGGCGGCGCCTGAGGTGTCCAGCTAGTATGATTGATGAAGCCCATGGGGATATTGTGGTGTCTAGCCAGTTTGAGAGTTGTTGTGTAGACGACAAACTGCAATGGCGTATCTGACCACGCAATCGGAAGACTGTTGTTCGGCAACGCTGCCTGGAGGTTGTAGTATTCGAGCTCTGGTTGAAGAAGTTGGCTCTGGTAACTAGATCTGGTTCCACGCTTGACAGGAAATCTCTGCAACGGTTTGAGGGCTGGATTCGGGTATTTGAAGTTCTCATCGTCCAATTCAATATCAAGGTAGCCTTGACTGTCGCCCGCACCGGTCTGTAGAATGACATCCACGCGCTCTCCAGGATAGACGATCCCGACCTCTTGAGCCTCGACCATTGTGATATCGTGGCCGCCATCGACCTGGAATGGGGAGAAGCTCGCATTATGCATCTTCAGCGAGAAGCCAGCCAGCGAGCCCGTATTGACCAAGCGTAGACGATAGCGCAGGCCACTTTGGACTTCTAGATAAGGTCGATCACTTCGTTCGCTCGACGGAACGCACTCCACCGGCCTTGCTGGAACTGCCATGTCGCAGGAAAAGTCTCCTTTGCCGTTCACCACCAAAGAATCCGGCACAGGCTCATTCCCAAAGGACCTAGAGTTCATATACCAGCGGAGTACCTCTGTGCTTGGTCGATGATACCAATCGCCTATCAGCAGCAGAATCTCCTCAACATACCGGTATCGTTGTTTCTCATCGAGCTGGCTGAGTGGTCGATAGACCACGAGACCACCATACAGGCCGTCGTCTCTTTGTGTTTTTTCGTGTCCATGGTACCAGAACGTGCCAAACTCCTCCTCCCCAATGGTGAAATTGTAGAGATGGCTTTCACCTCTCGGAATCGGATCCTGGGTCAGGCCAACCGCACCGTCCATGTCGTTTGCATGTTCCATTCTCAATCCATGCCAGTGTATGGCGAGGCCTTCGTCTGGTAGGAGATTGGTGACATTGACATTGATTCGATCGCCTGAACGAGCTTCAATCGTTTCGCCTGGGAATAGGCCATTGATGAGATATACCTCTTTGCGAACACCGTCTGGGTATCGATATCCCTTGGTAATCTCCCAGTTGAAGGTCAATGTAGTCGGCGGGCGGCTAGCATGTACTTCGGGGTGTAGTTTTATCGCAGTGTCACCGTTGGTCTGTCCGTGGCCTGGCAAGCCATGTCCGAAGATGTCATGGTCGCCCTTGAGCAGCCGTGGATCACCGTCCAGCGGATTGAGAAGCAAGGCAGACACGAGGAGGAACAAAAACAGGCCGAACAAGTATCCAGCCGATTTTATGTTTCCGAATGGTGTCTTTGGAGGTGTTGGTATCTGGTCTGTCACTGCACTCGCTGATGTCTTGGATCCTGAAGCCACAACATTATGCGAGCCATTCTCTTTAGGATTTCCTCCCTTGCGTCTCCTGGAGTTTGTCCTTTCCATGGTGTTCAGGTCACATCGATGTTTGAGGTCTAGAGAGAGGTCAAGAACAGGCACTACAGGTACAACATTAGCATCCTGAACGAGACATTGTGGTTGGATACCTTTGGCGAATTGGCAAAGGGTCTGGAACCTGTACAGCCGACACACGTTGATTATGCTGCTCGTCAATCATTCGTCGAGGGTTGTATTGCAGACGCCTCCGCATTGACGCCGTTCATCTCCGTTGAACCGTTGATCGTTGACGGCCGCATTGACAGATCCGGTTCAACTCGGCGAATGACAAAGCCACATTTTTCTCAAATTTCTCACTCACTTTTCTCACTTCTTCACGTTGACACCCTCGTAGGACACCGTGGACACCTGCACGATGAGATGATCCAACAGCGCTCTGGAATGGCGAAGCTGAATCATTGCTCTCAGAGGTGCGAGGCCCTATGGATATTCACCCGCTGCCTCGTTGTCCCTGCGCTTGACAACCACTCGATTCCTGCAAGGCGGATTCGACAAGGTATATGGCCATGGAGGTGCACGCTTCTGATTTACTTGTACTCATCTCAGATGTCCCTCTCTCCCTCTCTCTCTGTTCTGTGTGCAAGATCCAAGACTTTTGAAAATTATACCATGTCACCAACAACCCCTTGCCACTACTCTTAGACCTAAAGGAGTACTCTCTCAAGCAGCCTATACACCGACAAGACACTCTCAAAGTTTTCTATCTCCTGACCAAAACAAAATCATGCTCCAGCGTCCAGAATCCGGCCGTTTTCTTACCCTGAGCGTCGACCCTTTCTAGCATCTCAATCCCAAACTGCTTGGCTAGGTCGGCGTCATCCGACCACCCGAATTGCTTAATGAGACTCTTCTTCACCCCAAAGACGGGATCCAGCGCCACGTTCGTGCTGTCATTCGAGTACAGCGCCGTGGTAAGTCGGACGCAGTCTGGGTGTTGGAGCACAAAATGCTTTTTCACGAGATAGGTGATCTCAGCCACAATTTCTTTTCAACGTCTTTTGGGGGGCAAATAGGGGAGCATACCACATGTGCTGGTCGCACGTTCGATCTGTTCAGCAGGCGTAGCAGAACACCCACCGGTCCATCAAACGGGATCGGATAGTCGACCGCCCTTACGCCGACCAGTGCAAACCTACCCTCTTCGTCCGTGTGGAAGATACCGCGACAGTCCGGTTCGTCCTTTTCGGGGTCCTGCATGTCGTAGAAGCCGTTGCCGTTCGTCTCCCATACATCTACCGAGGCGCCGCGCAGTGGATTGCCTTCGGTGTCAGTGACCGTTCCGCGGATGAGCATCGGTTCTCCGATAGCCCCCTTGGAAGCGATGGATTGGCCGTTGTCAAACTCATGCGCTTCATTGTGGAAAGGCCCTAGTACAGACGATTCCGTCGCCCGCGGAGCGGTCGGGTTGTTGATGGCATCGACCAGCGCCGATATACCCAGGACATCGGAGAGGAGGATCATTTCCTGCCGGTCCGGGGTGCAAAACTGTCCGACCTGTCGAGCGGAAAATCTTCAGTTAGAATTCGACTCTTGAGGTGGATTAAGAGCTCAGAGTGTGGAGCACACGAACCTCGGTCAGGTACTGCCATGCCGCCTCCCATTCGGCCGTGGTCAGTTTCGTGTCTCGGACAAAGTCGTGTGAGTATTGGATCAGCTTTGCGAAGACGAATTTCACGCGCTCATCGTTGATGTTTGAACCTAGTTTGATGACATGGGGCGTCAAGTTCTCAATTGTCAGATCATCTGGTGAGGTTTTGTTTGCAGACGCCATCTTCGCCGGCACTGGCTCTCCTCAGGTTGGATATGAATAACACCGAAGAACAAACAGTGAGCAGAAGCATGGGCACTTCAGGTCCCTTTTATGAGTTTTCCATCTCGTGTAGAAGCACAAGAACCCCGGGGACGGGCCAAACAGAGAATGCCGGGTGACACATATCTCTAACGCCTGAACAGCCCTTGAACCTTTTAACTTGATGACTTGATGACAGAATCTCAATGCGGAAGTACGCCGTTGCCTGTTTGGTACCCTTCTCTGGGGCAGAGTTGAGGGGCAACGGAATGTTCCGAGAATACTATTCTGCTTGTGAAATAGTAAGTTTAGGGCGCACTGGGGTTTGCTTCGAGCGAGGAGGGGGTTATTCCGGGTATAAGTGCCATTTCAAGTGAGACCCCGTACTTCTTCGCGAGGGGCGGATTTGTCCTCTAGACACTTTGACCATCGATGCTCATCTCGCTTTCTCTTCGTGCTGGGTATTCACTTACCATAGTTCCTCATCGTCACGTTGAAAGAATTCGTGGCTTGGAAAGTCTTGTAGTTGTCGTCTTGCATCGCTGGACAATGAATACCGATCAAATGGAATCCTCCAGCCGTTGCTACCACGGATGCGGACCCTCAGACAAGTGCATCAGAAATGAGTCTTCCAATACTAACGACGCGGGCAAGACATCTCGGTTGAACCCTCTGCTGCATCTCACATACATGTACGGAGCGAGTGATTGAACGGTCCGGATCTGCGATAAGAGTTGCTGACAGTATATTTGAGATGCCTTCGACCGTGTTGGCTATAGCCAGATGAAGGCTATGTGTCGATGTGATCTGTCTCTGAGTCCGATGCAACCTCTGCTTGGAGGTCATCGCCAGACCGCAGGTTCTCTGGATACAGTTGCAGGCGTGGCAAAATAGCTGCACTTAGGACAGCAGCAATGCAAGAGGTCAAAGCGATGACTTCAGAGGTTCAGTGTTTATCCAAGACCCGAGTAGGAATCTCACGTTCAGAAAAGTGACTTACGGCAACATTTTCTCGCAGCAACACCGTACGCAGCTTGCATAGCCTCTCGCATGTCGCTGGGAACAGAACCCAGATAGTCCACATCCTCCAAGAAGTGTTTGAACATCTGAATTTGCCATGTCAATAGTTTTGTGACGACCGTTGCACATTATTGACGTCAAAATACCTTTTCAGACGCCGGGTCCGTCCCGATACGTTGCCGAAGTTCGGCCATGGTAAGCAAGCGCAAGGAAGTCGACGTGATCGTGATGGCAAGAACTCCCCCAAATGCCTCAAAGACCTGGAACATGCTGATCACAACCGCCCGATCTGTCAAGTGATTAGCGTAGTTCTGCCTTGGTATGACCGTCCCTGACCTTGAGGTGGACTGAATCGTATCACACAAACAAGCAGGCAATTAGGCGGCGTGCCTGCTAACAGTCCAACGAAGCCCACTGTAGGCAAGAAAAGCCAATGATTTGGTGCTAGTCGATATCAGTGGAAGAGTTTTATCGGTTGATCACAAGGACGGTACCGGTTAGGCCCTGTGACAAAACCCAAGAGCATATCGCCAATAAAGAGAGCGTCACGACCAGAGGTAGATTCGGTCCGTATCGCTTTACAAATCTTGCGCCGATGACGGCCCCTAGTGTCATGGACATCATGAAGACCGATACGACAATTCCGTGGGATCTGGCAAATCCGAAGTATTCGACTTGGGCATATAATGGGAGCAAGAAGAGAACCTAAAGGCGGATAAGTTTCTCTAAAAGTGCTTGGAGAGTGCAGAGACTGACTGAGTTGTGGGAAATCATCAGCAACAGGAGGCAAATAAACGGCCGGGACAAATTGATGCCGAAAATGAGACGGACAGGAATAATCGGTTCACAGGTAGTCCGAAGCTCCCATAAAACAAAGGCAGCAACTGCTGGGACGGTGACGGAGAGCAGTGAGATGATGACTGGATGCCGCCAAGGAAGATGCTCGCCTCCCAAAGAAAGTGCGATGATAGGCGGCAGGAATACAAATACGCATAGAAAGGCGCCGACGACATCGAAGCTGGAGCGCCCTGTTCCACGGTCTGGAACCAGGTCTGCCGACTTTGTGGGTTCAAGTCGCCCTGGCCATGTGCATCGAGGAGGAAACAAGACCAGTGCGAGGACCGGTACTGTGCAGGAGGCTTGCACGGCAAACATCCTGACAAGATCAGCTAATCTCATGGGCGTAAATATCGGTGATAATGGAAGAACGAACACTCTCCAACTGCTCGCATCTGTCAGGAGCTCACCAGTCGGACCACCAGCAACCCATCCTAGTGTTTCAGCTACGACTGAATAGCTGTGCCATATTGCGAGATCAGCGAGGCTTTGGGTATCTGTAAGCACAATTCGTCGTCAGATGGTCGGTGATGGCGAACGAGCTGATGAGTTGGGAGCGAGCATACCGCTCCAAAGAATTGTGGCCATCAATCCCAGACCTGCACCTCCGAGGCCGACAATTCCTCTGGAGGTCACGATGAGAGGCCATCTGCCAGAAATTGAGCTGGAAACCGTCAGCATGTGCCCCTCTGTCACCGTGAAGCTGGATGTCACCATAAAACATTGCCGAGTCCGAAAAGAAGAGCGCTAGCGATGACAACTTGTGACTTGGCCTGCTTCTGAGCTAGTTTGCCTAGCTTTACTGACTGTCAAAACTGCTCGAGTTTGCAAAGCGGATTGTATGCGGCACATACTAGAGGATTGCTGACAGTGTTTACGATGGCATAGACGATGATCAAGAGGCTGGAATTGCGAAACTGAGAGAACTGAGACGCTGCCTCGCCGCGTTAGTAGAAAGAAGATGCATAAAATGCCAACTGACCTATCTGTCCATTTTGCGCGAGAACAAATGATTCATCTATGGCCGTGACAAAGCCGCCCCAGAGTAAGGCTGCGCTCAATCGTGCAAACAACCACCGGCTTCTCTGAGAGGTGCTGGATTCGCTGGAGTCTGGCAGGAGGCGGGTCGTATCGCCTATCTCCTCCGAAGACATAGGTGCTGCATTAGATGGGTTGAAGATATTGAACAGATGGAGAAACTTGTAGTGGTTCATGGACAATCGCTGATCTATCGCTGTAGACGGAGCGGGATTAAGCTGCGCCTTGGCAAGGGGCCACGGCATCCCGTGGACGCCTTACCCGATTAAGGAGCCGGTGAGAGGCATGCGGGTCAATGTTGAGGGCGCAGGCTGGGAACAGGAACCGTTTACCAAACGAGGCTACCGGTGAACAATGTGACAGTGGCATTGAAAAAGTGGTGAAAAACGCCTTGGGGATCGATCGTCCACGTCTTTTCCAGCCTGAAACGCCTTTCCAACCATCCCAATTCGCTGCCCTGCAAACCCACATGGCGTTGACTCTTCGCTTTGCAACAGCTCGAGACATTGCTGCCATAGCGCGGGTGTGTGTCGAGTCTCTACCAGATGACCCGACCTTTGACTACCTCTGGCGATACCGCCATGAATACCCGGAGGACAACTACTTTTTCTGGCTCCAACGACTCAAGGGCAACCTGTTCGACCCCGATATGACCTGCCTGGTGGTGGCGAAGCCTCACTACAAAGGTGCCGAGGAGACAGTGGTGTCAGTCGGACTGTGGCGGCGACACGGCTCTACCCAGGCAGCAAGGCAATGGCAGAAGCAGGGTTGGTTGGACTGGATTCAAGGTAAGACAAAGAAAACTAGCCCAGGACAAGATCGGGCGACTTTCACACGCAACAGCCAAAACAGAAGCTGACGTTGGGCTGCAGGATTGACAACCAGTGTTGAGAACTGGGCTAATGTGCGGCAGTATCAACGTCGAGATGCAGATATGCCGCGAGTCGAAGCTTTCGAACAAGTCATGGACGAGGTCTATGACATTTATTGGCGCAAGGCATTTCGCGACAACTGGCACCTAGAGTTGTTGTTCACGCACCCTGAGCACAGGAAACAAGGCGCGGCTACGAAAATCGTTCAGTGGGGGCTCACCCAGGCTGAGATGGCGCTGACCTGGGACTTGAGAGCAGTCCGATGGGCTTCCCGCTGTACCAGAGTCTGGGGTTCGTGCTCATTGAGAAGCGGACTGTCAAGGTGGACGGCGATAAGGCAGAGCTGGTTGTCCTTGTCATGCACAAACCATCATCTCAGTGAATCTTGATAGGGTTGAGTCCTACCAGCCGGCTAATGGATGAGACATTGGCCTTTTGAAAGTGAGGCAGAAGATGTTGAGATCGAATAAGAAGCTGACGACGACCGTGTCGCTTGTGTTGTAATAGAAACCGTCGACAAGGTTAATGAGAATCGTATCATTCGTTACATACAAGATAATCAGGCAGTATCAGAATGTCAAAAGAGAACCATTCACGCGCATTGACTATTCGATCGTTACGGCGGACTCTCGATGTTGTTATGTGTCCCTCCTCACAGCCTTGTGAGTCCAATCATCCATTTTGGGCCCAGCCACTATAAGGCACTCGCTTCGCATGAATGGGTGGCTCCGGGGGGAAATCTTCCTGCCGAGGAACTGTCCGACTGCCATAGAGCTCTTCCCACTGATCTTCCAGGACCGGTGGAATATTCCAGCCCAAGCTCTCGCTGCGGACAAACATCTTCAGCAAGTGTCGGGGGCTACTCTCATCCGGTGTGTAAGTGTCTCGTGAGTGGAGCAGGGCCATGTTGTGGAAAAGCAGTAGGTCTCCGTTCTGGAAATCAATCTTCATGGACAGGTCGATTGCCTGGAAGTAGAGTTCGTTGAGGGCGAAGACCTGTTTTTCAGATAGGGGCGGTAGCTCAGTTGACCTTTTGGTGTTTCCGAAGCCGGTAAAGGGACGCCGAAAGCTCTGGAGGATGATTTTGCCATCGTGATAGTGCAACAGGGGCTTCTTGTAGCTCGGAACTTCCGGGTGGAGCCTGGATCGATGAGAATATGAGCCTTCAGACGAGACACGACGCGCTAATCCATGGGGGTACATGGACGTCGACTTACGTGTCAAACACAAAATCCTCGCTGAGAGTCCGTAGCACGCCTGGGTTGGACGCGGCCAGCTTGTTGTACACAGTAGCTGAACTAACCAGGCGAAATGATCCGCCTTCAGATCCTCGATTCACAGTGAAAAGGCTCACGACATCACCCAAGTCAGTATGCATAGTCTGTTCAGGTCAGAATGGCATTTGTTTTCGCGTAGGGGAGGATACTGTACCATAGCCTTGTTGGTGAACGTGGGTGAAACAATATCGTCGCCTGGATAGAAGGTTTGAAGGTCGCGAACGTGAGCCACGAAGCATTAGTTGACCATCGAAGCTGCGATTTGGGATGGGCCGTACTCAGGACATCCGCTCCGCTCGGACCATTGTACCCTCTTGTGGAACCAATATAGCTTGTGAGGCCAGCTTGGATCATGATGCAGTCCTCGACGGAATATCGCGCAGGATCAAGGCCACGGATCAGAACAAATCCTGGGGCGCCGTGTATCTCAGTGGCAGCATTCTCGAGCCGCTTTCGCAGGTCCTCTGACACAACGAACGACTTCGGAGACAGGTCTCTCCACGGAATCTCGAGCTCTGAAGATATCATCACCATCATCAGTCATAAAGCTTTTTTAACCACAGAGTGACTAGGCCAATACCTTTGAAGCCTGCCAATGCATCTTCAATGGACGCAATGTCATCCGTTGACAGCTTGAGTGTCCATTCCTGTTTTCTTGAGCTCATATCGCCACTGTCCCATGCCAACGGGGAGTTTATATGCGAGGGGAAGCCATCTGGGAGCTGCTCGGAATCTGATCTGGCTACCGCCAGAGGGTGGAGCGTATGGCTGAGACGGTCCTCTAAAGAAGGCACATATTAGAGAGTTGACACAGAGTGAAGAGTAGCTGCAGTGGCCATGTTTGGAAAGATACAAACAAAATTTAGTCGTCGATGTACTACTCGTAAACCGTCTCGCTTCAGATAGAGTGTTTAGGACAGCTGTTGATGAGAGCTGGGCGGATGGTCTGGATAGACGTGTTCATATACACCAGTGCCCGCACAGCCGCTTCGTATTGGGATACATGCGGCGATAGTTGCTTCTGTCCTGGCTTCCCCTCACACGGCTCGCTTGTTCATGCTAGTCCAGGGATGAGTGCTCTTGTTGGGCAATCCTTGTCGGCCATTCGTCAGGGTTCTCAGCAAACCCGAACAAGAGTTGTCGGTACCACGAAGTCTGCTTCACGGGTGCTTCTTCAGTGGTCGATGACCCCCCATTCTGCCGCTGCTGCAGCTCCAGCTGCAGGATATCTATCGAGTCTCAGAATCACACTGGTTAGAAAGTTGTGGAGCTAGAGGTTCCGACTTACCATCACGCCATCCCATGAGCCGCTTGTAGTACTCACGGTCCGTGCCGTCAAGCTTCGCGCATTCAGCCGCATCCTCAAATTGCGAGAGTGAGAAGATGGGAGCATCCTCAAAGGAACATCGCCTGATATAGTACCGAAAGACAAATACTAGATGTTGAGCAGATCACTTCCACTGCTCCAGCATGGGGCGAGAGAACCGCTCTATATGCCAACCAAAATAGCCAGCATGCTGTCCGGAGGGTCAGTCAAGGAAATTCGACAGTTAATACCGCCTGACTCACCGCGCCTCCATGCTCGAGCACGTAGAGTAATTGTGCTTCATACGCAATCTCTGCTGTATTGAGCAGGACGAAAATGATAAGGAATACCAGGAACCAATCTCCTTTGTTTTTCTGCAGTAAGGCCTTCCAGAGTTCCTTGAGCATAGTCTTAGTCACCTCTTGCATCCAATTAATCGTGCATTTGTCAATTTGGTAGTCCAGCATCGGAGGGATGGAATGTAGTCCTTGTCATGGGCCGTGGGATCCTGGATTGGTTTCGAGCCGAGGGTTTCCCTGCCACGGAAGGGAGCGGGGTGCGGCCAGGAACCTTGCTCCCATCCAGGGTCTCACGGCTGCGCGTAGTAGCGGCTGTTTGGCCTGTCGATAATCAGCGTTACTCCTCTCTTGCGATTGGAGAACCACAGCAGGCTCACCTCGTGACGGCTTGCGACTCTTAGCGTTGCGATGACGATGTCGGGGAATTCTTCGGCATCTTGATTAAATAGACTGAGCTGATAAGTACGGTAGTCGTCCACTATGTCGGCTAGGCGTGATCGAAGGGCGCTCAGATCGAAGCCGCAGTAGGTTGGAATGGACAGAACTTGGTGAGTTTCTGGTCCCCATTCTCTTTGGACGATATCATCCACCTCGGGGGAGTAACGACAGCATCCTACTTCGAAAAAAGGCCCTTGAACCTCGCGGAGGGACGTCGACTGTACGCTTAGTTGCACCTGTGATTGCGAAATCCATCTCATGCTCTCACGAAGTGGTTGGCGCCACAAGGCAGATTCTGTGCTTGACATTAGCATCTGAATATTTACTAAAGACGTCACTTACTCAGGCGAAAGAAGCCGCATTGCGTGAGATCCAAGCGGAAGCAAGGCTGGCTGAAAACGACCGTCGGATCACGGCATTATCCGGATCATTCTTGCAATTCTGGCAGGAAGTAACCAAGATCACACTGGGAAATGCTTTAGTGAATCTGCAGTATCCCTTGCAACAAGAACATACCGCTTTCCGCCACATTTTACATTTGAGACAGGCGCCTCGCTTGCGCAGCTCTGCAGCATCCTTTCTCTTCTGGGGTGTGAAGGCCGATCTACGGTTCTTCGCCTTACCGTTCGCAGCTGAATCAAAGGCGATGAAGCTTGAATGACTGCTATCCTGCACATTCCACGTAAATTTGGGGTTGCTGGAAGGTAGAGTTCGCCGCTTGGTCATAGGCTCGTCCGATGGAGCGTTCTCGGGTGAAGTGTTACCCCGTTAACGGCGTCCCACCCTCTGACCACTTTGACCATGACGAGCGATCGAGGGCTCCAAGCTTATTGTCGTATCTGAGTCAGGCTGCGCGGTTGCGCTGCTTTGCGGGCTTGTCCGTCAAGTGTTCAGGACTTGCACGGTTGATGGTGTAAGTGTCCTGCCGACCGTGAGTGTGTCGCATGGGTGTGACTGCGGATGGAGCAGCTGGGAAGTTTGCTCAATATCTTGAGGTGTGGCGACTGGATGAGGCCCTGCGGCAACAAGATCATCGAGAGTCTGTCGAGGACATCAGCACAGCTATACACGGTCTGCAATGGGAAATCTCGTACAACATCGGAGAATGGCAGAGGCTCGAGAGATCCAAAGAACGGATCCCTTGCTCCAGCTATGGTAGGCAACTCAGGACGATAGCCAGACAGAGCAGGTGCTAGTTCGTGGTCAAGAGATGGCAAGGAAAGTTGAGCAACGTTGGCATTGTCCACATTGTGTTGGCGAGTCGAACTTGATGGATTGACAACATCGTCAAGAAGCTCAAGCCCAAGCGTATCGGGCCATTCCGGCCAGAACTCTGAGCTCCAGTCGGTGGTGTCATTCCAAACAAGATGTTGTAGCCCCGATGGGTCTTCAGAGAAATCGTTACCAGAAGAACCCATAGGAGTGTAGATTAGTGGAGCACCGTGCACTCTTTTCTTCTCTGACATTGATGGCCAGTGTGGTATGTCAGGAGTTTATGGAGGATTATTATGTATTTCTTTGGTGCATTCAGACGATTCAACCAGCCCCACCACCACTTAGTTTGCCCTTTCGTGGGGTAAGCATCAGGAAACTCTTCACCGGTACCCCAAATTGGAAGCGCGGCGCCCTATCGGATCTAGAAGTGAGGCAGTCCTTTCCAAGCCACCAGATTTAGAGCTTCGGCCTTGGCCCCTTTCCAACCCACGCCCAATCTAACAGCTTATCCACTGCACTCTTGCCTTCAACCCAGCGACGATCGTGCGCATCATCCAAGAATCGTTCCATTGGTGTCAATCCTTCGCCGCGACGCATGTGCCTGACAAATGCATTGCTGATTGTTGAACCTGTGTTCATTAGGACCCGGAGGGCCAGGCATGGTTCCTGGATCTGTTTAGTATATCCATGTTGACAATATTCTCCCGTACACCTAAGGGTGATGGGGTCACGAACCTGAGGTTGTTGTTCCGAGAAGACGGCTGCGTCCTGCTGAACAGATAACCTTTGTTGCGCCATGGGCAAAACGAACTTTATAGATCATACCAAGCTAGTTGACGTACCGGTGTAGGAGAGTAGCCATGTCCCCTGGTGTGGTATACAAAGATTGAGCAGGAATGAGAGGACTTGCGAGTGTCTCTCACAGGTTCCTCTATTAGGAAACCGGTAGCATCTAGATAGCACAGGCAAGGCGTACTCAGGAGGTCTGGAGAACGTGTACATTCTTGCTCATTCCATAGTCTCTTGTCCGGTAACCCTGTTTTGGAACTTGGGCAGACATTTGTCTTCAGACTTGGTATGTTTGCTCTACTCCGGCTCTTGTCTAGGCATGGTTCCAAATAGGCGGCACCCGGGGGAATCGGACATAGGGCAGCCTATTGTTGAAGTCGGCGAAACAACCCCATATTAGCCCTTGTTAGCATCTTTCGTCGATTGGATGCTTCAGACTGGGGGTTGACGGCTGAACTCGCTTGCTTTGTCTGGCTCCAGTAGGGGTATCCACAGCCAGGATGGTCCTTGCAGATTCCGTGCACCCAGTAAAAAGGCCTCACTCGTTGAATTGAATAGGCCAGGCGACTCTGTCCATGTGTGGTACGTTAGAGACTCGGGTTGCCGTCCGTAGATGTTCGCAGTGATTTCACTGGAGTGAGCATATCTCTGAGCGGTGAGATATACGAGAAGTAACTACTAAGACAGGTGTTGGGCATGAAAGTGTTGTTGGTGAATATTCAAGGGGTTCTGCGGAGTCTGAATAGGCGGTTGCAGTTGATGGGGAGAAAGGGTGCGCCCTCCTTCACACCAGTTCCCCTTGCATGGTTTCCACGATTGACGAGTCCCTCTGGTCGTGTCCTGGGCCTGAAAAACTCTCTATCAATTCATCTCCGGTTCCAATGGTACTGACACTGATGCTACGACAACGATCTGCATCACCAAAATGTGTCGACCGATAGAGCCCAGAAAGACAAAATGGGAGCCTGTGGAGCCAACGACTTCAAACCTCAGATCATCCACCAAGATGATGCTGATCTCGACGGGTCGGTAATGTCATCCAACCTCCCGTAGAAGAGAATTGGGCCGGACTTTGATATCTAACAATGCCTTAGATGCAGCTCCGTGCACCGACTGTCACTGACACCTCGCCTCGCTCAACACGCCAGTCACCACTGTGATAGGATCCGTCTGCGGCGTTCATATCCGTGATCATCGAGATCGACCCTTTCACCCTCGAATGCCGGCACTCTTGGCCAATTCGCACCATTAAGCTCGCGCTGCAGGACGCGCGGAAGGCAGGCCAAAGACCAGCAGGCGAAGAATGTGTGCATATCCCTCTCAAATATTTTCAAGTCTGAGCCAGCAACGTACTTCGACCAAGAATTTGGAACTCTGTCCTTGGTATACCCGTCAGTACGAGGCACATGCTGATCACTCAATCTCGGTCTACAGGGATGCTGAAGTCTGTGGTTCCCTGCACAACCTTTCCATTGGAGCAAGCAATCCCCATTTTGTCTGGTGGATAGGGGCCTACCGCCACTTCCAAGAGGAAAAGTATTCCTCCCAAGGCTCTTGATATACGTAAAGACGCAGATGTCGCCCCGCTTCGGGGTCCTCCACCCCTGAATGCTCACCAATAAGGAAGTCTTCGGAAGAGGACCACGGCCTGGTTGCCCCTAAATCTGGCTAAAGGTTGGCCTTCCGGAAAACTATCTGGGCGAAGCGATGCTACCTGGACCTCCGAGGCTCAAGGAAGCCCGACCATTGGTCTTGTACCCCTGCTCCGCCTATCGTCAAATCGATGGTGGCCGAGTCTCGACTGTCGCCGATCAATCCTTCGCTTTTCTGGGGCGTGTCCCCCTCGCCATTGCTCGGCTCAGCTTTCAGCTTTCAGAATTTAGACTTACGACTGACCTCGAGACTGCAATGTTTTTTCACGTCCCAACCTCACTCATTGGACTTTCCTGGAAGCTTGACGGCGGCAGCAATAATTTCAATGAATGTCAATTATGAACACGACAGATCCACGCGTTGGCTCGGCCCGTGATAACTCTACGAGCCCTGGACTGTCTCGCCTGGTTTCTGGTTCCAATTCCTCTGCGACAAGCAACCTTGTTGCGACCCTAGTGCCTGTCCTAGTATGGGCTGCCCTGTGTATCATCATCTTCATAGCCCTGCGACGCAAATGTCCTCGAGTATACTCTCCAAGAGCGTTTCTGAAGAGCCTGGAGCCACAGTACGTTTTTTGCGTCTTGATGTTCCCATAGGTACTTGCGTGAGGCTGACATCTTCAAAAGCGAAAGGAGCGCGCCACTTCCCGATGGGTGGTTCAGCTGGTTTAAAGACTTCTATCGCATCCCTTCTACTTTTGTGCTAAATCACTCATCTCTTGATGGGTATCTCTTTCTGCGTTTTCTTCGGGTGTTGGCAGTGATATGCTTGGTGGGAATACTGCTTCTCTGGCCTATTCTTCTCCCACTCCACGCGACAGGCGGTGCTGGCAATGTCGGTCTGGATTGCTTGACTTTGGGAAATGTTGTGAACCACAATCGCCTTTATGCTCATACCCTACTGTCATGGGTCTATTTCGGTAAGTCATCTCCAGACTACAACCCAGCACTTGCAGTAACCTGCTTTGCAGTTTTCATCCTGTACATGGTCTCGCGAGAATGTGTTTACTATATCAACTTACGGCAAGCGTATCTTCTTTCACCATTTTATGCAAACCGCTTGTCCTCACGGACAGTGCTCTACATGAATGTGCCCAGACAACTTCTCGATGAACAGAGACTCCGATGGATGCTTGGAAGCTCTGTCAAACAGATTTGGATTCCCCAAACAACCAATGAGCTCGAACGCCTGGTCAAGGAAAGGGAACAGACGGCTATGCGGCTAGAGAAGGCCGAGTTTGAACTCATCAGGATGGCCAATGCAGCAAGGACGAAAGCACTCAAGAAAGCCGACAGCGGAGAACAGCCAGAATCGAGCAAAAACTCTCTCGAGACCGAGACCGAGACTGAGGTCTGTAGCGAGAATGGGAGAAAATCAGTCTCGAGATCTGGCACGGCAGAAATTGTCCCAGCGTCCAACGATTCACAGGATACTACTTACCCCTCGAAAGAGATGCAAGAACGCGCCCTCCCCGATGTCAACGGATCAGTTGCATCACAATGGATTCCTCATAGCTCGAGGCCACACCACAGACCAATTGCAAACTATGGCCGCCGCGTGGATACCATCAAGTGGACAAGGAATCAGATCAGGAAGCTGAACAACCAAATTGCCAGAGTCCGACGAGACCAACTTTTCAAAACTGATGGCATGCTGCCTTCCGTTTTCGTGGAATTCGAGACACATACAGATGCACAACACGCCTACCAGACGCTGACGCACCATCGCCCGCTGCACATGGCTCAGCGGTTTCTTGGCGTAAGACCGTTCGAGATAATATGGGCGTCGTTGTCAATGTCTTGGCTAGAGACAATCGCGCGGAGATTCTTAATCAAAGCTCTGATCACCGCGTTGATTATATTCTGGGCAATCCCGTCTGCTTTTGTTGGCACAATCTCCAATCTGGAGTATCTGTCAGAGAAAGTCAGCTTTCTCGGGTGGCTTGCAGATCTCCCAAGCGCTGTCAAGGGTATCTTGAGTGGTGTTGTCCCGGCTTTGGCTTTGTCTCTGTTGATGAGTATTGTTCCCGGAATCCTGAGATGTAAGTCGCACCTCGTCTTTCATTCTTCCCAGTGCTGACGGTATACCAGTTTGCGCCAGGCTTGGAGGAGTTCCAACTCTGAGCATGATTGAGCTTTACACTCAGCACGCCTACTTCGCTTTCCAGGTCGTCCAAGTATTCCTGATAACGACCCTGACCTCAGCGGCGTCCGTAGCCGTGACAAAGCTGCTCGAAGATCCAACTACAGCAAAGGATTTGCTCTCTCAGAACCTGCCCAAGGCTTCCAACTTCTATCTGTCGTACTTCCTTTTGCAGAGCCTGGCACTTGGATCTGGAGCACTTGTCCAATTCGGCAATCTGTTCCAATTGTATGTGTTTCGAAAGTACATCAACAGTCCCAGGAAGATGTATATGAGATGGCATCGACTTCAACGTATTCATTGGGGAACAGTGTTTCCCGTCTACACCAATCTTGGTGTCATCAGTGAGTTTTTCTCCTTGGACACACCACAATCCCATAAGTAGGCTGTTTCTGACGATATCTCAGCTCTCAGCTATGCGCTCATCGCCCCGATCATCCTCGGATTTGCTGCTGTCGGTCTGATATTTTTGCACATGGTGTATCGTTACAACCTCATCTACGTCTACGACTCGGAAGTCGACACCAGAGGGCTTGTGTATCCTCGCGCTCTGATGCAGTTACTGCTGGGCTTATATTTCTCTGAAATCTGTATGATCGGGCTATTTTCACTCAAAGGTGCTTACGTGCCAGTCGTGCTCACGGCGATCTTACTCGTCCTCACTGGT